GTCCTGTCAGTCGATCGAAAGCTGAATGAGCTGTGGGCAATAATGGCAGAGAGGTACGTTGGCCCCATCTCTTCAGCGACCTATGATCTCAAGTTGCTGCAGATTCGGACAGCACTTAGTCAGGCTGAGTAGGGCTTTGGTTCGTGCTCCTGTAAACAGGGAGTGCGTGGTGCCCTGTGCGGAACCTGGGGCTGATGGCGTCTAGCGTGAAGGGAGGAGGGGACACAGCGACGAGGACGCCGCATTCAGCGCGGGCTCCGGCGACGACCCGTCCGATGCATCCAGGCGGCACAAGATAAATGGTCTATCTTGTCCCTTCACTCGTAGATCAGAGGAAAATCATCGTTGAGGCAAAGGAAGACTAAGGAGGGCAAAGTGAAGACTAAGGAGGGCAAAGGGAAGGGCGCCTTCAAAGGATTTACGAAACGATGCTGATGTACGATCCGTTACACTATGTCCTCCTGCATTCTCGAGGTGAGGACGACTGCAGGGTATTGATGCTTAAGGGAAGAAGGAGCTGTAAGAGGAGAGAGAGAGTGAGCGAGCGAGCGAGAGAGAGAGGCCAATGAGCGCTCTGGCAAACCGAACGAAGGCCACTATTGATTGGCCCGCCTTTTTTGAGTGTGAGACCCACATAGCAACTCTAAAACCTTAAGCCCGTTAGGCATGCTTGCGGTAGTGCTTGAAAGTCGGTCCAGCGATCATGCGCCGTTAGTCAACTCTAAGACTACGACAGTGCTTAACTCAATGAATAACGGTTTGTACCCAGAGCAGAGGACTTGGCTACCGATACACCCGAAAGGTACAAAAGTGTAGAAAAGACGTACTCATTCAACAGTTTATTTCCACCTTCTCGACTCGCTTTATCGCCTGGAGTCTTTGGTTGAGAATACCCTTCTACTGAAAGTACAAAGCACCTGACTCCTTCCAGCGGCTAGTGTAGATGTAGAAACAATTGAGCCCTTTCTGGCGAAGACACCTTTATTGAATGTCTAACCAGTTACAAGGACGTAATGAGATGCAACTTTCAATAAAAGTGTGCGTGCATATAGTAATAGTCAAGCCTTCCATTAATAAACAATTCGATGCTGGGCCGCAGTTTTTTCAGCGTGTTCCGTAGACTCTTATGATTATAAAACCACGAATTCTCCAGGTTGATATCCATTCGCTCCAAGTACGGCCAGCATGGCCAATCCTTCAACAACCGGTCCTGAAAGAGATCAGATATGTCCTTGTGGAGCCCAAGGTACCGCATGTCGATGCCATCGATCATGTAGTCCTTGGTCATTGTGTCGCTCGTATCTGTGTCGCTGCTGCTGCTGCTGCTGCTATCGCTTGCGGTTTCGCTGTCAGGGCTCCTGGGTCTGTTGCCATGAGAACGAAGGGGAGGTATATCCACCGAGGTCGATGTAGAGAAGGGCCGTGTTGGGCAGACAGCCTGAAGCCCAGGCCCAATGAAGGGCATGTTGAAGCTGCTGATCTGCATCCTGGTCTTCACCTTCCGCACCGTCGACATCGTCTTGCACATCCACTCCAAGTTCCCCCGTTCAAAACCGTCAGTACTAGTCTCAATAATCAACCGACGTAGACGATGCAGCCTCGACAGCAGACAGAGACCGCTCTCTAAAGACAGCGCAAGCCTCCGTCGCCAGATGAACAACTCTTGCAGGTCCGGGCATACTCTGCTCAAATAGCCATACATGACCCGAGTGCTTCTCGTATTGTCAAGACTCTCCGGCTTGAACCCAAGGTGGAGCGTGCACAGTTTTCGGCAGGCCCAGATCCTGCGATGTGTTTCCGTCGTTAGATTGTGGGTCCATTCCTGCTGTGTTTCCCCATCGCCCTGTTCAGGGGCCAAGATACCCTCTAGAACGAACAATGTGGTCGGAAACCCGATCCCGGAGGCCTTGAGGTGCAGGAGATGTGGAGAATCGCAGAGGAATTGGTGGAGCAGAGATACACATTGGTGCTTGACGTTGGCCGATGGTCGGGCCTCGAGTTCGAGCGTCCAAAACAAGTCGAAGTCACCGCTAGTGCGACAGTGCTCGGGATTGGACCAGTATAGGATCTCGAGTGTCGTTAACGTGTTGATGTAGCCGAATCCCCTCAGGGCTTTGAACACCGTGGGGGTGGAATCTTTTGATCTGAAGGTCCACGCGGTGACCGACGGGAAGGAATTCATCGTCGCGGAGAGCTCATTGTCGGAGACTGCATCCCATGCATGGCCAGCCTGGGCTGAAAGCCGAGCCCTCTTGAGCCTGGGACAGAGAGACGATATCTACTGCATAATGGGTCGGTCAGGATCGGAAGGAGGAACCACGGGATCGATGATGCATAGCTCGTCCAAGTCAGGGCAACTGTGCAGTAGCCAGAGAAGGGTCTTTCCCGGTACATCCGTGCGCATCAGCTTGAGGGACCGTAGAGGCAAGTAACAAGGCAGAACTGGCCATTCATCCGCTTCCTCCAGGACTTCAGATCGGCCGCGCGCTTGGATGTGCAGTGCCCAGAGATTAGGGCAGAGTTCCACAATCTTGGTGGGGATACAGTCCGATCGTGCAGACATCACGATGCTAAGACTCGTCAGCGACGGGCCCAGACACGCCAGCAGTGGCACCAGTTGTGTATGGAAGGACAGGTACTCCCAGATGGATAGCTCCTTGATGCGGAGTCGCTCTTCTGCTGACAGCATCCTGATTTCGTGTAGTAGTTCAAGCCAGACTTCTGGTGGATTCTGTTCATCACTGGGCCAGTAGGAGTGTGCAATTGTGAAAGAGCGCGCCAGAGGCAGTCTTAGGAAGACTTTGTGTGGGTTTAGACGTTTGCGAATATAGTAAGAACTTAATCTTGCTGCGGCCCAACCGAGAGGTCTCTGGAGGAGGGTGCAGGCGATGCGGAACCATTGGCGAGAGACGTGGAGGCAGCTGGAACGGAGGGTATCGGGGCTGAGGTGAAGGAGGATCTGCTCGAGGAGTTCAGGGACTTGAAGCGGGGAACTGACGCTGTTGGAGCGACGAGAGAGTCGAGAGTGCTTTGAGAGCGAGACCATAGTGGCAGCTGCTGGAACTCGAATGAGGGAAGAAGTCGAGGATGAAGGGATGGCGAATGAGGGGATGAGAGGAAATGAGGAGCAGTGTGGCCCTTCTTGTCGCGAGCATTGCGCTATGACCCTTCTTGTCGCGAGCATTGGGCTGTGCGACCAAAAAAGAAAAAAAAAAAAAAGGAGAGCCATTGGGGGCGACTAGATCGATGGTTGTGATGGCAATCTTCAACAAGCGCTCTTTCTACAACAAGCACTTTTCCACCTAGACACCACCCGTTATATTTCCAAACCGCGTCTTCTCAACACATTGTCCAAGATCACACCAGGGGGAACAACCCCCGCCATGTTCAAGAAGAGGTATCCCCTGCTGTAAAGTCGAGTTTCAGTGTCTTGAGAGTGGGATACAAGAAAGGCGCCGGCGCCGGGAGTCGGCGGAGGCTGTTTCTTTGTTACAGTTCCTGGGCATTGCTGCTGTTGAATACTGAGCTTCGGCGGTGCCTGTCCTGCATCCGTTGCCGCTGTAGTCAGGAAGGTCCGAAATCCCTCGGCATCGAAGGTCGTCAAGCTCTCCAGCTTCGCGTACCTCGTCAAGAATTCCAACAACGTCTTCACATCCCAGATTCTCCATTGACGTAGCGCCAGCCCCCAAGTTGTCTCCGGAATTGCCTTCAGATCGGCTACTTGCCACTCATGAGCAATGGCTCTAGGCAACAAGCGCTACTTGCATGCTCAAACAGGGCCTTGGAAAGCGGTGACCGCATAGAGCCAGCATGCTATGCTTCTGTCAATACACCAAATGCTGTGCGATACTTGCCGGTCTATGAACGTCTGTTGCTCAGTCTTCCAGACATATGCCTACCAGCGCACGATTGGCGGCTAATCTTATCGACTTTGACTAGTTTTATCGGTTTCGACTACCTGGTCGAACGTAGCTTTGCTCTTGACGCGTATGCACTCTGCATGCTAAAAAAGAGCACACCAGGTGTAACGGCCGCTTCCTTCCCTCTCCCGTCTTTTCTTCCACCCCGCCACTCCCTAGTTTTTATGTGGAAAATAAAATAGAAATAAGAATAAAAATAATAGTGGAAGAGTCTCGATATCCATCGACGGTCTGCTACACCGCAACAGATTGCACAGTACCGCTTTGGGACACATGCTACGCAGATCCTCAAGCAGTAACGAGGATTCTTTGCATAGTGTCGCAGTCCGCCAGAGAAAAGAGGTTCAGGGCGGTTGTTATCCAATCCCCTCTTGAGCTTTTAAGATGAAAAACGCACTTCGACACGTTTGTCTGTAGGAAATAATTCTCCATAGCCGTATTCCAAAAAAAAAAAAAAAAAAAAAAAAACTGACTGGATCCACATCCACTGATCAAGCATGCTGTACATAGTCCCTGCATCATTCCAAAAGGTTCTTTGCACAGGGCTGACTGCTTGCTTCGAGACGAAAGAACCTAACGCCTCCATTCAATGTTTATATCACACGGTCGAATCTTTGAAGCTCTAGTGTTATTATGTTCACGCATTTGCACCTAATAGACCTACATCGTGCTGTCGGAAGAAAGAAAGAACGCGTCTGATGAAATATTCACTGACTCTTCCATGTACTGTTATCTGCAGATATCTGTCAAAAGCAACAGAGACACGCATGGTGGTAGTATGAACATGTTTTTTTTTATTCTTTATTTTTTATTCTCTTTCTTCATTTTCTTTTCTTTTTTATGCTGATGTTTGCCAGGGGCTTTTTTGCCGCGACGATTGTCGCTAGGCTTCTGTGATACCGTCTGGGACGATAGAGGGGCCCTTGACAGCCTATCGGCGGGATTTTGCTTAGATGCGACCCATGAAATGGACAGGTGGATGTTGTTGGACTTTATGAAAGAAATAAGCTGTTGAAGTAGATGGTTTAGTTGTTGGTGTCTTGCTGGGTGCCTCATGGCTCGTTCCTTGAGCATCAAGCAAATCCCTTTATTATCGCAGTGAAGGTTGATATTCATGTTTGGCCTAGCATTATCGAGGATCGCACGGTGGGCTGCGTAGTACTCCGATTCGTACGAAGAGTGCCGGTATTTGCGAGGCACCGGGAAGTTCTTGGATGAACCTTTGACGCAAATCCAAGCGCCTTGAGATAAGGTTGCGTCCGTGAAGATTTTTTTGGGACGAGGACAATGTGTTGAAGTCATAGAAGATATTAAAATGATGGCGATAGTAGTTCGTGGTCCCTCGAAGCGCATGTGCTTAAATAGGGCAATAAGAGCACCCTTTAGGGCAGTGGGCTTTTGCGATCGACAGCTGACTTTCAGCATGTGAGTGGGGAATTGTCCAGTTCATGATCTTGGCCCTCTAGAGCCCAAGAGTCCACGACAAAAAACATCGAGCCCGTGATAGACTGACATACTCAGAGTTTAGGACTGGTCAGGGCTGGGCAGCCTTCGCTTTAAATACGTAGATTCATCTCTGGGTACTGTTGAAACTAGAGTCGCAAGTGAGCGGGGCAGCTTTGTGCTCTCTCATTTGCCCAAAGCAGGTAAAAGAAAATGGGACTTTGAAAATTCAAGGTTGCCAGCTCTGGCTTGTTCAACTTTGAGCGGACTCTGTTATTTAAGCAGCAGCGGCCTTTTTCAAGGGCGCCTATCTTTATTGAAACAACTAAAATCCCCAAAGACCATGCAGTCTCTCGCTCCTTTCTTAGTAACACCATACGACAGCCTCGGCTATATCCCAGTTCTCGGTGACCATCCAACTATCGTCATTGATGATGAGACTGCCAGAATGATCAAGTATGCAAGATCCTCTTTGGAACTCCAAAATACCTCGGTTCGGCTCTATTCCGACGGATCCGTACTCCGTCAGCACAGCACAAACCCAAGTATAGGATTTGCATGCGTCTACGAAACTGTGGATAGCATGTACAGACTTGCAGTTTTCGGCAGAACAAAAGGCATTGCATGCTCTACGACAGCAGAGCTCGCTGGCCTCTTGGCTACCATTTCGTGCTGTCCACGAAACCAGCCTGCAACAATTTATGCTGATAACCTGTCAGTGGTGAACCTATTTTCGGATCTTGTGCTGGATCCCATTCAAGCATCAAAGCGATCAAGGCCACCATCACGCTTTGTAGACTGGTGGGATGTCATCCAGAGGGCGTACGTGGAGCAAGGGGAACATATTAAGGTCGAGTGGGTGCCTGCGCATAATGGTCTGCCAGGAAACGAGGCTGCAGATGAATGGGCAGCGTTGGCTCATAACTCAGGTCTTACTCCATGGGAATTCAACAGACCCGGCTACATTAGCACCACGCTATCGAACGATATCACAAGGATCCTTGGAGACTTGAGACTATGAGGGTCCACTATATCTAGTTAAATAAACATAATTTTGAGTACGTTGAACTACTTTGGTTTGAAATACCAATAGCAGTAACGGTCTTGTGGCCCAAGCGTTCATGGCTGTGTTGCCATTGAGGCAGAATCCAGGAACCTGACCCCCCCCCCCCCCCCCCCCAACAGGATGAAATTCTCCCTATCCCAGATGACCTTCTTAGGGTAGCATGATGAGCCCGCGGCTCTTTTTGTTGATGACAGTGACAGGCACCAGACTGAAGGACACGAGGAAACCACAAGGCGTAGAGATGAATAAAAAGAAAGAAGTTTAATCGGTTGTATAGTATTACCTGAAAGATCCGATATAAGTCACCGATTTTGCGAGTGTGAATGTGGAAACGGACGATGATGTTACAGGATGAAGTAGTAATGAGGATGTGTGCGGTAATGAGGAAGAAAGAGGAAGCGCCAGGTCGAAACGATCTAATATAAGGATATAGGGGGAGAGACGATGAGGTATATTCCCTGCGACCAATGGTGGGTCCCAGGTTGCTGCTCTCTCGTTGCTATGGCTACTGTCGGTGTAGTATATCAGTCGAACTGCATTATTAATGCCAAGGCGCTTCCTCAAAGGGGAAAAAAACAGGATGAAGAGATGAGATGATGGAGTCCTCTCTAGGAAGTCGCAACGCTAATATCAGCTTTTAAAGTTTTAAACTATTCCGCTTAAAGGTTTGAGTTTTGGGCGTGGAGGAGCCTTGAAGGAGGGCTGCGCGCAACTCGTGTTTGAGCGACATGGGGAGACACGACCCGTAATAAAAAGGGCGATCTCCAAGTAATTGGGCGCGATGGGCTGGGTTTTGACTGAAGACGAGTGTCGGTGGGGGCGCGTGTTCGCTGCACCACATAAGAACATGTCCCATGCAGGCCCTGTGCTCGCTCACTTTGTCCATTCTCACTCTATTGGTATCTCCGTCTCTGCACAGTCAATTTGTTCTTCGCCGTTCCACCAATCCAAGTTTTACCAAAAAAAAAACACATATGTGTCACTACGCGCCACCGAGGTGTGAGTATCATCGACGACGGCCTCGCCAATCAACGATGTTAATTAATGTACATACGATAGAGCAACTGAGACTAAAATGTCAATTAACGAGAGTGGTGACGGTTGCTCAGACGTAGTGGAAGAAACCTCTGTTAGTAACACGCGCAGAAATAAAGCAATGGTGTAGTTCAGCATCATGCCAGTTAAGAGACAGAAATTGACAGCTACAAGGTCCAGCTTCAATGCGCCTATCCTACGAAGAAACTGAGCATTGTCTTCAAAGAAGCAAACACTCTCATGATCTGCAGAATAGCTATAACATAATGATGGCTGATTACCACAATAGAAAAAAGGTAAATATAATAGCCTCAGGCTCTCAACCGACTTGCACGCGCTTTCCTCACATTGCCCATGACAAACGCTTCCCCATGCCAGGTCTGCACCAAATAATGATGAAGACCCATTATTCCCTCGCGATGAAAGAGTCCTGGAACGCTCTGATAGAGGTACGCATCCGTAAACTGAATGGCCTCCAAATAGAATAGCCTGCAACTACCCACAGACATTTGTCTGACCGATCTCGAGACGGAGTCGATGGAGCAGGTGATCGCGTTTCTAGGCGAGAGCGACGTCCCCATCGACGACTTTAAGGCAATGCTGTGAGTTTTACTCGCAGCATTCTCTTAATCAACGCTGATTCTCTGAACACTGGTCATTGATCTACACTATATCTCTCAATGGATTTCCCGATTTGTGTTTGTTGCCGTAAACTTTATTTTTATTGAATACATGTCATCTCGCTGCTGTGTGTATGGCTGTCGCGACATTGTCCTGCCAGTATGAATATTAAATGAACAAGGAGCCCATTGCTGCCTCAGTTCTGTAATCGCCCGACAACAGTATCTCCCGTTGCAGTACCTCCCATTGCAGTATCTCCCGTTGCCATGGGGCCAACCTCAATTCGGCCTTCCAAAGATTGATGCAAAAATGACGATCAGCGCCCAGATGATGCACATGATTGCACAGGCTCGCGCCCACCATCTCTCTCGCGGATCCCTTGAATGGATGAAGCACATCCCGATGAGATACCCAACCCACGTGCACAATCTAAAAGACGAACGAAAACCAAAGGTACAGGAATACAGGATATTTAGTCAGAGAAGAGGAAAACAAGGCTATCCTGTCAACGAACTTATGGATAAGACAAAAAATAAAGAAATCCGGAAGCCTGGAACAAAGACGAAGAGTGTTCCTTACCCGAAAATGAAGCAGATCATCGCAACGGGGATACCTCCCCGATGAATGTCCCCCTCATCTATAGGCCCGTTATCCACCACATACACAGTGGTGTTATGCATTCGACCTAGAGATGTAGAACACAGTATCTTCCTGTTATTAGCGCGCTCATCAGCCTTCCCAGAAGAATGCGCTCATGTTCATGAAGACAACTTGCCTGGCTGTCCAGACGGCGGAGCATAGCCTCCATATGCTTGGCCATAGCCCCCAGGTGGTCCTGGCGGCGGAGCGTAGCCTCCAGGTGGTCCAGAAGGTGGGGGATAGCCTCCCATTGGACTCATTGGCGGTTCATATCCACCCCCGGCTATTGTTGGGGGTGCATATGTCTGCTGCTGGCTACTGCTACCAACGGGCTGCGCCTGATAAAAGTTATCTGGTGCACCGGAGGGTGGGGCATATTTTGAGGTATTGGCAGCTGAGTTGTCGTATGCGGGTGGAGGCACCTGAATCATGCCGTCGTTGTTGCCATCCGGGACCCTGTTCGATCCATCCATACTCTTTTGTTGCTGCTGACTCATGGTTTGCTCTGAATTGGGAGAGGACTGGAGAGTGAAGAGATTACGTGTTTTGGACTGATAATAAAAAAAAAACGGTGTGAGAAGAGCGAGAGAGAGTATCTTTTTTTCTTTTATTTTCTTTTTTTATTACTAGGGTGAGCAGGAATGGAGAGGATTGAGAATGTCAAGGACCGGGCGGTGGGGGTTGTCGAGAACGGAAGGAGCTGAGGAAACAAGGTCCGGATGGATTGAAGAGATAGGAAGATAGGAAGGAGGGTGGGGCCACAGGATTAGTGACCGCATCAAGACGTGTGGATTGGGCAGATTATTCCAGCTGTTCCGTGTGTTTAAGTTTATTCGTGCGGAATAAAATACGCCGGTTGAAACAGCGCCAGAGTCCCCGCGAATCCTTCGGGTCGCATGTGCTGCCGCCTGAATCGAAGTAGGTTTCGATGCATAAATAAACATCGTCGTACGCGAGGCCTGTTTTTTTTTTTTTTTTTTTTTTTTTTGGGAGCAGCTCAGTCCTGGGCTCTCTTTTGTGTCTGTGCACGCGTTTTCGTCTCCTTGTTTTCGCGTGGTGATGCAGGATCCCTTAGAACCGGCATTTCCAAAACAGTCGACTACGCTCGTTAGTGGACAAGTCGATTATTTATTTGATGATATATTTTTGGATCGAATGAAGTAGAGTGCACTTTTTATGTTGTTTCGCTATTTTCATATTTTTTTGTTGTTTGTGTGATCTGAATAAGACTTCAACGCAGAGTGAGAGAGACCAACGGTAGCTTCTAATAAAGTAACAATTGTGACCTAGTGTGCGGCGTGTGTCGGCTGTCCTCCCCCTGGTCCGAAAGTCGGCACCGTATAGCTGTTGCTCGCCGGGTTCGAGTTCTTGCCCGTTGCGTTCTTAAAGTCGTCGATACTCTTGAACTGCTCCAACAACGGCTTCAACTCCGCCATCACATCCAGCTTGCGACGCGCCTTGTCCTTGCGGTAAAATAGGTACGCCCAAAACTTCTCAAGTCCATACATATGTCCGTTCTGGTAATCCGCATAGGTCAACGCCTCAAAGTCCAGGAACAGATCCTGTCGGAACTTCTTCTCCAGTCCGTACGAGTAAAATCTGAAAAGACACTCGAGACCATAGCGATAGTTCGCATTCGCATCCTCCACCGCCAGCCGCTTGAACTCTGCATACATCTTCCGATTGTAGTTGTCGCGTAAAAAATGGGACCAGAATCGGAAAAGAGTATTCATCTCTTGAGAGTGACCGATGCCCTGACGCTTGCGCTCCTTTAAAGCCTTGTAGTGGTATTTGTAATACTTGTGCTGGATGAAACCGTTCTCATGCAGCAGCTCATGAGACGGGTGCTGGAATGCTGGGAAAGAGTGAGCGACCTCCACTGAGGTCGATAAGAGTGACGATTCTGTATGGGATCCCATAAACATACAGCCAGCACCAGCTGGAGAGTTACCAACCGACGTCGATGGTAGATCCGAGGGTAAGAAGGGCTGATTCCCCAACACCCATCCAACTGGGGCCTGTGCAAAATATTGGCGCGAATCTGACTTCGATCCCTTGCCGCCTTTCTCGCCCCTGAGTGGATAGAATCGCTGAGCCTGGTTCTTCTTGTCCTTGCCCTTGCCGCGACTGCTGGCCTCACCGCTTTGACCGAGGGCGTGATTCTGGTTCTGACTCAGGTTTGGGTTTAGGTTCAGGGTTGGCGTGCTGGGTTGAGCACCAACACTCGAGCTCAAAATACTGCTGGCGCGACGGGGCTGGGAACCGGTAAGTGCGGCAAATTGCTCTTCCGAGATTGTCTCGACCTTTTTGTTCGATTGACCAAGGCCGGGTTGGCGACTGTCGTTGTTATTGTTACGCTTGTGCTGAAGGTCATGTTCGTAATGGTACAGTCCTTCGTTGATCATTTCATTGATGTCGTCGTTCATCGCTTTGCGCTCGTATGAGCCATGGGACCTGTCGCGTTTCCTTTGGGTGACGATAAGGATCTTGGCGATAGTTTCATCGTCAAACTCGTCGTCATCATCATCGTCGTCGTCACTGACATAGTATTTTTGAACAGTGCCAGGACGGGCGCTTCCAAGGAGACTGTCATCGTCAAACTGGAAAACCTCATCATCCTCATCCGAGGGTAACTTGACGGGCTTTTCAGCCGGGCTCGAATGAACTGTAGAGGCATGCTTCTTGTGCTTAGGCTCCTTGGTATGCCAGAGATTCCGGTTAGGCTGGATCGTTGGTTTGGCTGGTAAGGACGAAGAGATGATGACTGGATGTGGACTTCTGGGCGGCGGCACATAAGAGCTGCGGTGATTTGAGGCTGGAACAGCGCCACTTTCTTTTGGAAAGATCCAGGTAGCCCAATCGCCCTTTCTGCGGATCTTGTCGCCGTTCAACTCGATCTCTTTGCTTGACTTCAAGGTCTCCTTGATCAGTTCGTGGTCTGTCGTCAGGTTTTTAACTCTGTTAAAGTTCGCGACGAGGGACAGCGGTACATAGCCTTCCGAATCCATTTGGTTGCGCATGTATACATCCTTGCATAAGTTCTCGACAGAGAAGTAGTATTCCCTATGGTAAAGCAAAACGCACAGAAACGTGAGAACGGCCTTCTAAAACGTGATTAAGAGTCGCAACTTTTGAAAGCGCCTTGTGGCACCGAAAACATACATTTGTTGAAGGATATAGGCCTTTAAGGTTTCAGTATCGTTGAAAACGCCATTCTGCTGGTAGGGCTGTCTGGCATGGCCCAAAGACCCGCGATAGTTGGATCGCGTACCGTAAGATTTTCCACCGCCTTCCATTGGTATCGAAAAAATAGTCAGCAAACAGCAGTAGGATTTAAATAAAGCAGATATATTCCTCGAGCTACGCTTTCAAACTTACGTCCACGTCCTTTCTGTTGGCGGTTGTGGGTTTGCTGCTGACTCTGCGAGGGTTCATCATCAAACATTGATGGTACAGATGCACGTCGGCCCTGCGTAGTGGGAGCTTCTGGCGTTTGAGAACCCACAGACTTAGTGGTATCACCGGGTGCTGAGTTCTTTCGGCGACGGGGGTGCGATGAGCCAGACGCGGGCGTGGAGTGGGTGATGTTCGGCGTCACCTGGGTCCACTTGCCTTTGTCCTTCTTGCTGATGGGCGCAGCAGCTGTCAGAGGTTCATGCTTAATATCCTTTTCGGCTGAGGCGCTTGGATCGGGCCAAACACTAGTGTCGTCCATCGAGGGAATCGGTGGCTGATGCTGGCGTGGGTGTTTCTTGTTCTTTTTGGATCTTTTGCTACCATCCCTGTCATCTGCATCATTTGTAAAAAAAAAAAAAAGCGCAGATCGTCAGCACCGTCCCTTTTTCATGTATTCGCATAGAGATATCTCGATGGATCATAACCTTGTCTCTTCATGCACGCACACTCCTAAAATCAGACCATCCTTTGGGCCAGCTTCTACGCCTCCACGCGCTGATATATCCACACGTGCGCAAATGGACACTCCTCAGGCCGTCTCGAGGCAAATTACACTCGTTTTTTGTCTTCGCTTATGTTTCATACCGAAAAAAAAAGACTCGGAGTGTCCCTCGGAACCACGCAGCAAGACAAAATGAAAGCTCACCAACACCTCCTTCAAACTCACCAAGAGCGGCGTCCTTGTTGTTCCCGACAGTTGGTTCTACACGCTTCTCCGTGTCTGTCTCCACATGGTCACCACCTGCAGGCTTCATGGCTTCCTTGCGCGCCTGCCACACATTTACAGCAGGGAGGTCAGGGGAAGCTGCGGTTGCAGCAGACGAGGAAGAGTCGCCGTTGTGGTGTTGATGCTGATCATTATGGGATTTGGTACGACTATGCGGCTCCTTAGCTGCTGTTGTTGAGGCCAAGGTATCCTCGACATGCGACTCATTCTTCTTGCTGCCGGGGACAGTGGGCTTGGTCATTGTTGGGTGCTGCGATCGAGACGAGGGCGGTTCGGGATCTGACAGGCGGGGTGGTCAAAGAGGCGAAGAGGATAGGAGGGTAAGTGTTTGTTCAGAGGAAAGGGTGGAGTGAAGAGGCAGCGATGGGAGGTGGAAGTGAGGGCAAAGGATGGGTGTAGGGGGCGGCGTGAAGGGCGAAAAGGGGACGGCGTGATGCTGCGTGTGAAAAGAGCAAAGGGTTGGTGGCAAAATGTTGAAGAAGTGTGCGGAGGAATGCATCCACATTGAAGTTGGACAAGAGAGAGAGGAAATACGGGTGTCTCGACAGAGGGAGGAAGAAAAGAAAAAAGTTTCAACGCTGCTCACGTGGGAGGCTCTTCTCGTCGAAACCCCACCCCCAAAATGGCAGACGACGACGATCGTCGTATTCAGCCATAGACTGGGACAGAGGCATCGATGTTCATATGTCTGGTGTGATGCTGTGCAGCTCTACATTTTCATGCCATACCCTAATGTTACACCAGCGCAGAAACTGTGCGGCGACACATGTTTCATGCGCAGCTTGAAGCTGCCATCGTCAAGAGCTCCTCCCCCTTCCTCAGCCATGTGCCAAAGTGAAATTCTTCAAGCTGCTAGCATTAACGGATGGGTTCCGGAGGGCATTTCTTTTAGTGGCCAAGATGTGTAAATGCTGTGTGTTTTGTACTATTCAGCCCAGAGTTGGCCTGTGTTGTAACATAGGAAGTAAGATGTTTAAATGAAGTAGCGCGCCAGAGCCGTGCTGAAAGTAAGAATGTGATAATGTTCGCCATCAATTGTGTCCACCGATAAAATATGAGAATGAATTGTTTTATTGCTTTATGGACTTCTTAATCGTAATATCCGTAGTCATCGTAATATCCGTGGTCATCGTAATATCCGTAATCGTCGTGATATCCAAAGTCGTCGTAGTGTTCATTGTAGTCGTAATAGTCTTCATTATAGTCAATGCCCTCGCCATTATAATCGTCGAACTCGTCGAACCCGTCGAACTCGCCAAGGCCCATTAGATCCAAATCACTCTCCTCCTCATATGACCTCTGAGTGATCACCTCGATGTCTCGTCTCTGCAGCATCTCGGACACCCTTTTCTTGGCGACCATCAAGGGGTCGTAATGCAGGGCCATGCGCTGATGACGCCACTCGAGAGAGCCCTCAAGTGTCTCAAGGTTCTTCCAATGCTTCATCATCCATTGAGCTACTTTTTCACCATCCCGTTTCGAAATCGTCACGTTCATCGCATTCTTGCAACTGAAGAACTTAAGATTCTTCAATGTCGTCAGATGCCCGAGCCCTGCTCTCAGCGACACCTTTAGCCTTCTTTCCAGCATGGATGAATCATCCTCCCAGCCTCTACATCCACAAATCGATAGGTACTCCAGCTTCTTGAACTGAGCCAGTCTTCCGTACACCTGTATATTCATTTTCAGTAGCTTGTGTGTTTTCACGCGGTGCTTGTCGATGGTGATTCCAATATCAAATCTCCTCAGGTTCACGCACTTCCATGACTTGCGCACGATGTCCTGATAGTCAAGATTCAAGGCGACAATGCTTTCCAGTTGTGGGCATGAGGTTAGAATTTGTTGGACCATGTGGCTCGTGATGTGGCGAGAATGCTGTAGATCGATTTCCCTGAGTGTCGGAAGGTGCCGCTTGAGAGCGTCAAAGTCCGTGCGCGCCATTGACAGTTTTTCGACTCGTGGAAGCGCCATAAGGATTAGGGTCATGTCCTCGCGACTGTTAGGGGACATCAGGTGGAGAGCCGTCAGGTGAGGCCACTTGGTCTTGACTGCTTGGCAAAACTCGCCGACCGGGATGATATACATGCACTCCCAGAAGAGAGACACTAGATTGGGACATTTGCTGATCCAGCTGAGTTGGGTCCTGACCGACATCTCGGTGCCGCGAAGATCAAAATGTCGTATCTTCGGAAAGGTGAGGTTGGCCGGCAACTTAAATCCAACAAACCCATCATGTATAGATGAAAGATGCTCCACGCCGCGCGATATGGCTTGAATATACCGCTCAGAGTCGCGGAAATCGATAGCACAATCTGCTGTCTGCAAGACTTTCAGGCTGGAGCACGATACTAGGGCCTTCACAAATCTGGGTCTAAAATGAAGGGAGTGATCGAAGTCTGGGTCGCGCTGAATGACAATCTTCCGTAACCGAGGGTTTTCTCGGACCATATCTGAGAAACAGGACCACATGTAACATGACCAATCATATGACCACTCCTCCTCCTCCTCCTCCTCCGTGCCATCCTGGTCATCCTCCTCGGACTCGAAATAGATGTCGTCCGAGAGATCATTCGGCAGACTGATATCTTCGAGCTGGCGACATAGAGAAAAGAGTGTTGCGAGGTATGTGGGCTCGGGGTTCTCTATGATCAAGCTGCGGATATGATGTGCATTCTGCTCCAGTAGTGTCTGGCTTGGGGATGCACCGTAAGCGAAAGTGAACCTGCGCCAGAGGGAGGGCAGGAAGGCGGCTTTCCAAGACTTGCACACTCGGATACAAGACAGAGCATCTTTGAGACGAAGGTATTCACCGATCAGGCTGAGGATCTCTGGCAGTTCGAGAGGGTTGGGCATGTTGAATGAAGATCCTAATTGGATGCGATGAATGGGCGAGGCATGGATGAGGGAACATAATTTTTTTAGATTAGAAACTTTATTGAGTGAACGCGTCGAGCCGCGTTCTCAGTTAAGCTATACGCGTCGATCGCATACTGATCCTACCTTAAACTAACAGGCATGGGCATCGATTAGGAGCTTCAGGCCTGCTTACTGAGTCCATATCAAGGGTTGTACCTGAGCAGTTATCATTCGTAAGATGACATTTAGCATGGGGTTCGCTCTTTAACCTTTTAAAATCGTGGGAATGTCGCCTTCCCCAGTACTAATTTACTCGCACGGAGCTGCAGCATGATTATCAAGGGGAAAAAAAGTTTATAGCCCTCGGTGGAGAATAACACGCTGCTTTGCGGATTCATCACTGAGCCATGAACAAATCGCGACGCTTATGCGCGACGTTTTCCTTTCTTTTCCTTTTTTTTTTTTTTTTTTTTTCATGTGTGTTATCGCAAAGAATGCCAACGGAAAGACGAATACGGCATTATACCAGCTAAGTTTCATACGTGAGCCATCGTCATTAAAGTCCAGCTTTATTATCAATAGTGCCGTCCTATGCCAAAATGCCGATGTATATGCGATGCGTGAAAAGAACAATGAGCCGTGGCTGGCTCTACCGCCCAAAGACATTTCCAAGAACACTCTTGATCTTGCCCTCCACAGGCGCAGATGATGCTTTGATACTCGGCTCGCCATCGCCGCCCAACCGCCGTTGCTTGAACACTCGTCGGACCTTTGGTTCGCTCGGCTCCGATTCAGCGACCTTTCCGCTTCCACTGTTGCTGTTACTGCTGCTGCTGTCGCCTTCTGTTGCTTTGCGCTTGGCTGCCTTCTTCTCTTCCATGCTCTTAATCATCTTCGACTTTTCAATGTTGTTCAGGATGAATTTGTTCTCGCGGTTGGCCTGGCTAATCTCAGCCTGGAGTCGCTGTGCTCGTGAAGCATTCTCGTATGCTGAGTCATATCAAGGGATCAAAAGAACTGTCAATTTACTGTACTTTGCCTCAGAAGGGATCTCAACGAACATACTTTATCTTGACTTACCAATTCTTTCTGTCAGGTGGTCCCATTTGAACTTTGGCAAGTACTTGATATTCCACATGTCGTCGTAATAAAAGCTGTTCTTGTTGCCGCCAATGATCGTCGTATTCAAAGTCTTGGCCACCTGCTTCGCTACAGACTTGTCCATGAACTCGACCCATCCTTCCGTGAAGTTTTGTTTCTTGTTGCCTCCGTATTTTTTGCGGCGCGCTGCGATCTTAGGATCTAATTAGAGAAAAGCAACAGGACATGACGCCGGGTTAGTATGCGCTTCAGTACACAGTACGGCCCTTTATTTATTCGCGCCATAATTCGGTCGAAATCACTGTACCTTCAGGTGCCAAGTACACACGACCGAGTTCTCCGAATTTGCCGAGCAAATGGCGCAATTTGACGGGCTTCATGAATGGAGGGATTTTGGATAGATATACGATTCCAGTCTTATCACGAGCCGCTTGAAACTTTTCCAATGCCTTCGGTGTCAATGGCTTCACTTTCTTTGACTTTTTTGCGCCGCGAATCCGCTTAGGTTCGGTGCTGTCATTTTCATCCGCACCTTCCATCTGAAATCTGGGATCCGAGGAAGCTGTGGGGTCTTTGGCTGTTGTGTCACTGCCATCCTCTCTTTCATCATCATCCCCGCTGTTGTCGTTGTTATCGTCGTCGTCATCGTCGTCATTATCATCGTCGCTGTCTCCGCTTTGGTCAAGTCCAAATACTAAAGCGTTCTTCTTTGCGGGTGCAGGTTTTTTTAAGCCGGCCATCTTGGAGTTGGTGGAAGAGGCCTTGAGCTCGCGTTCCTCTTCCGAGTCATAGTCCGAGGCATCTGAGTGGCCATCATCCTCGGGCAGGTTGAAAATATCCTCTGCACTGACTTTTGAGGTCATTTTAAGGTGTCGTGTGTTGAAGGAGGAAACGTATGGGTTGGGTCAAGAGAGTCGCACAGTCCAGGGTTCAGGAAAACGGAATAATGATGGCTGATGGGTCGCTTAGCCTTGAAGTTGGGCTTGCAGAGTTGGTTAGAAGACGGGCAAGTACGAGGCTGTTATTTCACCAGAATGAAGGGAAAAGAAGATGTACGAAAGGGCGGTAGCGTTGACAAGCAAAGGAGTTCTCCTCAACGGCCCCAAAAGAAAAAAAAAAAAAAGCAAAGAAAACAAGGGTGACTGCTGAATTGTTTTGATCTATATAGGGAAGGTGTATGCATACGCACACGCTGCCATAACCTCGTGTGAGTCGCCATCACCGTCTCCTCCGTTTCTACCACAAACCACACTCACACACTCATCTTCATCATATACATAATCATGGTAGAACGTCAATGCATAGGAACATGAACGTTGAAATGCATAATACAGGATAGCAGCTTCATGATGCACATCTAACAGTCCCTTTCTCGTCTTTGCAATAGTCCGTGACTTTACACACCGACCTGGGCGATCTCAAACTGGAGGTCTTTTGCGAGAGCGTTCCCAAGACAGCGGAGGTACATGGATGGCCACTGACCTTAATTTTCCTAAACGTCGACAATGGAACACACAAAAACCCATACTTATACTGATGCCTTTTTTTTAAACACACTTTTTATAGAACTTTTTGGCGTTGTGTGCAAGCGGATATTACGACAACAATCTCTTCCACAGGAGCATCAAAGGATTCATGGTGCAAACAGGCGACCCCACAGGAACAGGAAAGGGTGGAACGTCGATCTGGGGCAGAAAGTTTGCGGATGAACTTCGTGGCGGTCTGAAGGTACAACATCAAGCCCTTGCTCTCTTCCTTCGCACTTGTTCCAGAATTGTATTGCCCGCACGAACGTGAGTCCTAATACACTTTTTTTTTTTTTTTTTTTTTTTTTTTTTTTCGTCCATGATAGCACACGGGCCGTGGCATTGTGTCGATGGCGAATTCGGGACCGGACACGAACGGGTCACAGTTCTTTATCACGTACGACAAACAGCCGCATCTGGATACGAAATATACGATCTTTGCAAAGGTCATTGATGGCGCAGACACGACTCTGGATGCAATTGAGAAGATCCCTGTGGATGCGAAGAACAGGCCGACACAGCCGATCCGCATTCTATCGACGACCATTCATGCTAATCCTATTGCAGACAGGGATCGCTGAATCATGAAGCGATACTTGTACATGAGAGTGTTTCGGACTGAAATGGATCGTATAGCTACACACACACCTTTTTTTTTTTTTTTGCTACTTATCCTGCATATGCCCTGTACATTATCACTACGTTCTTACTTCTCGTTGTAAACCGCAAATAAAAAGCAGTTAAGCACAATGTCGATGCCAATGTCACTTTCAAGACTAAATCAGACACCAATGCCAATGTAGACGAAGACTTGCGAGCAGGTTCCCCAAGATGAATGCAATCGTAATGATTTATAACCGGACTTTGATCTCTTCACTTGGACCAGTCGCACAAAGCAAAATGTGAAGATCGGACCATTGGCGAAGATCAAGATAAAATGTGCTGCGTGGGATCGCTGTAGTGTTTATGCATGGTTTGAAGGGAATGCTGACAGATGTGCTCCATTGATAACCGTCGGAACAGTGGGAGAATAGGAGGAAGAAAGAATAAGAGAGAGAAAGAGATCAATGGAGTTGGCATTTCCTCCTTTCCCCTTCTCTGGTTCCCTGCTGCTTCCCTGCTTCCCTGCTTCCCTGCTCTCCTTGTTCCTTGCTGTTAGTGCATGCATGGGTGCATGGGTGCATGAAGATAGTCCGCTGCATGCGAAAAATCATCCGATTCTGTTTTAGGTCCTTGCGGGCGTGTGTGGTGCATAGAGTCTATCCAGGCTGCTTCATTTCAGATATCATGCCACTTTTTCTAAATAGTTCAGGGCTCACATCCAAACCCAAATCGCGCAATGGATACTGCATTTACACACACATACACTGGTATTTGTCGTCCAGTTGGTTGGCCATTGCTCCGGAATAGACTGGATACAATAGACTAGACTTGCGTGGACCAAGTCTGATCTGTTCTCATGTTCCCCGCAGCCCATGTCCATGTCCATGTGCATGTGCTGAAGCGGTAGATATGGAGAGATAGCCCAGCAGTGGAGATAAAGAAGCAGCGAAACGTCCCATTCGATTCGAAGCCTAAACATCATCCGATAATTTGTTCCTTCATCTTCACACTCGCTCCGCTCCTTCCTTTCAAGTCTCGACTCGTTGTATAAATATCCCCCAAGCACCCTTACGACTTCCCTTCTTCTCGCCATGACCCTCCACTCCTCAACGTCTTCTTCTTCTTCACCAACCACCACCCTGTCGTCTCAAACAACAACAACAACAACAACTACTGCCAACATGGTCGGATCTATCTCAAACAACACCTTCCCCGCCAACGTCGGCATCCTCGCCCTCGAGTTCTACTTCCCCTCCAAGGTAACAAGCACGCCTATGCAATCTGTCAATTGGCCTTTGCTTGTCTGATGTCCGCCTTATGCTCGACCGCGATGAGGTTTGGAATGAGCCGACGCTGATGCAAACACTTTGTCTCCTGTAACATGTCTAGTTTGTGGATCAGAGCGAGCTCGAGCAGTTCGATGGCGTCTCTGCCGGAAAGTACACCATCGGCTTGGGTCAGACCCAGATGGCTGTCTGCGATGATCGCGAGGACATCAACTCCATCTCCCTCACTGGTAAGCAACATGATTTTGTTGCCACCCTCGGATCCGCGTGTGCGTGTGTCTGTCTGCAGCCACGTACCCGCAACGGTCCTCATCCCTCTAATCTTTCCTCTGATTTTGTTACTATCTCATAGTCGTACAAAACCTCGTTGAGAAGCACAGCATTTCGTTCAAGGACATTGGTTATCTCGAGGTCGGCACAGAGTCCATCATCGACAAGTCCAAGTCCGTCAAGACCGTTCTCATGTCCCTCTTTGAAGAATCCGGCAACCACGACGTCGAGGGCATTGATACCAAGAACGCCTGCTACGGAGGCACCGCCTCGGTCTTCAACGCCGTCAACTGGATCGAATCCTCCTCCTGGGACGGTCGTCTCGCCCTCGTCGTCGCTGCCGACATTGCCTCCTATGCCGAAGGTCCCGCACGCCCTACCGGTGGTGCCGGAGCCGTCGCCATCCTTATTGGCCCCAACGCCCCCGTTGTCTTTGACCAGGGCGTGCGCTCGACTCACATGAACCATCTCTGGGACTTTTACAAGCCCGAGCTCGCGTCCGAGTACCCAACCGTCGACGGACACTTCTCCAACACCTGCTACATCCGCTCCGTCGATGCCTGCTACTCCCTCTTCACCAAAAAATTCTCGAAGCGTTACAGCCCCAACCCAGAGCAGCTCCTCAAGAGCCAGGACCTCGATCTCTTGGCCTTCCATGCGCCTAACTGCAAACTCGTCCAGAAGGCCTATGGCCGCCTGGCTTACAACGATATGCTCCAGGACCCAGAGAACGAGGCCTATGCGCCCGTGAAGGAGTACGCCAAGTTCGGACATTCGGAGGAGTCTTATTACGATAAGGGACTGGAGCGTGCCATGATGCAGTTCACCAAGGCCGATTACCAGAAGAAGGTTATCCCCTCGCTCTATGCCTCGACCAACGTCGGAAACATGTACACGGCTTCGGTTTGGGCCTGTCTCTCGAGCTTGTTGTCCTCGACCCCCGATGAGGAGACCCTGAACAAGCGCATCGGTATGTTCTCTTACGGCTCTGGATCGGCGGCGACCTTCTTCTCGCTCAAGGTCGTAAGTTCGACTCAAACGTTCAGGGATACTCTCCAGATCAAGGATCGTCTCGAGAAGCGTGTCAAGGTCACGCCCCAAGTCTTTGCTGAGCACTTGAAATTGCGCGAGGAGACCGCGCTCCTGAAGGATTACAACCCCATCGGTGACATCTCGACCTTGGTCAAGGGCACATACTACCTCCAGCGCATCGACGAAAAGTTCCGCAGGACCTATGGTCGCGCTTAAGCCTATGTTTATTTTTTTTTTGTTTAGAATCCAACCCTTACCCTGTATCATAATAAATATGCTCCTCCACTCTCGTAATACCAACTGCAGTTGAATCCTCGGGCTTTTTGGTTTGCACGATGGCATTGACGCCTTGTCTCCCCTCCCTGTTCAGCACTCTTCGACCACTGAACGTCTTTTATCCAAAAAAAAAACTACACAATCACAGCAATACGTTGGTGATTATCCTTGTATGAACAGTTTATGATGGACAAAAAAAAAAAAGTAAAAAAAAAAAAAAAAAGGCTAAAGAAAACTATGCAGACATGCTAAAGAAATGATTTGGATCGTCGCCTCCATACTCGCTTCCTCCATAATCACTACCTCCATGTTCACTTCCCCTTCCCAGCACATTGGGCCCTCCAGGGCTGGGGCAGTACAGCGACGAGCTCGACTCCATCTCATTATCCGAGATCATCGACGCCATCGGCGATCCAGGGGACGGGCTTGGCGGTAAGGGCGTATTGATAGCATTCGTGTATGCTGTCAATGAATTCGGCGACTGGGGTGGATGTCCATGTGGCAGCAGTCCTGTGGGCGTCGTATAAAAGTTCGTCGGGATCTGCACATTAATCGATGGTGTTCTCTGCTGATGGTTTCGTATATTGAAATTGCCCTGGTGATTTGTGTCCGTTACATTCAAACTGTTCCCGCTACCACCCACGACTCCACCACCTGAACCAGCGGCGTTCATCCCCAGGCCGAGGTTCTGCATCGAAAACGAAGGCGACAGTGGCGAGAGTGGGGACATGGGCGATTGGTGTGGAGAGAGCGGCGAATGGTTCTGGGGGGACTGGGGTGTGTTCCCCCCGATCGATGTCTGGATCGTCAGTGGAGACTGCGGTCGCCTCGGCCCTGTCGCCGACCCATCATTCGATCCCAGGGTGTTGAACATCATGTTTTGATACATTTGCTGGGTTGAATTCTCAGGCGCCGTGATATAGATAGGTGGTCGTTCCGGTTCCGGCTTCACTTCGTAATGCTCGAACGTCAACTCTGGCGGTAATGCTACCAAAAAAATAAAATAAAAAATAGCAATTGCAGTAGTATTTTTAGAACGAATTTGATAGAGACCACCATATTGTATACGTTGCGGCGGCAGGCATATAATACAACTTACGCTGGCCACCTGTGGTCTTTTGAATATACTCCAACAGGCTCTTGAGGACCTGCTGCTGTGCCGCCTGCTTGCGACGCGTGTCTCCCAACTCTCGGACGACCTCGCCAAAGTTCTCCTGGAGCTGCGTGATCTGCTGTAGGAGCTCCGTCTGCGATGCCTGGATCACGGCCATATGCTGGGGCAGGTCTCCCCCATCCCGTCTCATCGAGTCCGACTCCATGGCCTTGCGCTTGATATCGTCCAACAGATCCTGGCGCCCTCTGAGAAACTTTTGGTGTGAAAACTCCCAGATCTGGTTCTCGGCCAGCGTTCGATGTCCTCGAGGGGATTTGTTGACCTTGTGGAAGCCATACCTATTGAAAAGCGCCATAATAAACAAGCAGAGAAAAAAAAGAAAGGAAAAAAGAACATGATGCAGCATGTTAGACTTAAAATCTCTCTTCTGCGAGAATAGAAAGAACTACATGCCATTGGAAAACGACGATAAAGAGAAGTCCGCCTTACATGTTAAGCTGCCTCACAAAGCTCGAAAAATTGTTGTGCTTGAAGTGTTTTGGGAGAACATCTCTTGAGAACTCCATAATGTTGCAAACAATGAACGACGTTCCTGTGTAGTTCCACGCAATCAAATGCTGATACTGCTTATCGATCACCATGCTAAACAATAGAGAGAAAGAAAAAAGCGCAAGGATGGAACAATGAACAAAAAGAAAAAGAAAAAGAAAAAGAAAAAAAGAAACCATTAATATCAGCCATTGAGCATCAACACAAACATATACATATCACAATAACGAAACCATACTTGTGTAGTTTGTGGACAAAGGTGTTTGTGTTGGCCTTCGCGGGCGAGGGCGGTTGCAAAGAGGTCATAGAGCCATTGGGTGACGAAGGCTGAGAGCCGGACGCCGAAGGCGACGATGGTGAGCTACTAGTGGTTTGCAGAGGGTATGGGATCTGGTTCCCACTGTTGGCCCGAACCCCGCCGGGTTGGCGAGGCTGCTGAAGTGGTTGCTGCTGCAGCTGTAGATGTTGTTGCTGTTGCAGTTGCTGTTGCTGATGTTGAAGTTGTTGCTGCTGCTGCTGCATCTGCGATAGAAGTTGGGGTTGCTGATTCATACTGAAGGGCTGCTTTTATTTCTCTCTCGCTAAGGAAACGTAGATGAGCAAAGAAGAGAGGGAGTACGGTGAGTAACAGGGTGAGAAAATGTCCTTTGAAGATGTGAGAGATGAAATAGAGTCAGCCATCAACAAGTGTTTCATCTGGAAACACAACAGCAAGAAGCTGTTACTCACCCGCTTGCCAGGACAAGAAGGGAGAAAGGGTGTGGTTGGTGTCGATTGAAAGCGATCGAAGAGGTGGATGAGAAGCGGCAAAGTAGAAAGAGTGAGGAGGTGTGAGGTGAACGGATGGGATCTGCTGAATAGAACAGTAAAGTCCAAAGGGGCGCAAAACCAAAACCAAAAAAAAAAAATAGGTGGCAAATCACAAGAAACTAGATTATGTGGGAGAGTGGGAAAGTGTGCGAAAGAGAGATGTGGGAAAGGGAGATGATTCCAGCCCGGAATGAGCAGCTGCAGAATTGCAAGCCGAGGACGTAAGAAATAGAAGGGAGAGGTTTGCGACCCGAAGAAAAGAAGGGCGGTATGACGGGCTGATGAGCAAATAAGGACAGCTGTGTGTGGGTGTCCCCAAAGGGAGAAAGAGGGATGATGATGATGATCACCTGGGAGTTTCTTTTCTTTCCTGCCCTTCGATGAACGCGCGGGACTCGCCAGCCAACGAGGGACAAGACTGACTATGGTGGTGGCCTCGTGCCTGGAGAATTGTATGGATGTAGTGGCCACCACCCATGACGGCATGAGGGTATGCAAACATTTATTTCCAAGCACTGTGGGCGACCGATGGTGCTTTTAACAGTGGAAATGCACTTGCAGCAGCGTAATGTGGTAAACGGGCGCGTGCATACACTCTGCTGATTTATAGAAGGGCCACAGGTATTCAATGGTTTGACCAAAGGCATTTTCTGAGGTCCAAAACTGATAAAAAATATACTAGCGTAAGATACTATTATTTTTTTTGGTTCGCGTCTTCGATCATGAACGCGGCAAGACCGCTTGTTTTAAGCGCACAAGTCCACAGTGGCGAGCCAGATAATCTTTGATCTTGGAAACTTGAGTAGGTACTGCAGAACCTGCGGCGAAAGTCGAATCAAGCGCCGTATCCATCTCGATCTCGGAGATCTCGCCTTTCATCATATTCGGTCCACTGCTTCATAGCTGGAGCGGTGTTCGTTCCACCTTGTCCTTGATATCCAGACCACGAATCTACACCCGGAATATCGCTAGATTAAGACTGCCACTCTGCCCTTTCAACTTCGTCGAAGTTCATTTCCTGCATCGGGAGGCTAAGTTTCATCAATTGCGTGCACAATTGCGGGAATGAAGTTTTCTTTACTGGGACAATATCGACGCGCGCGTAAAAGTCGCGCTAGAGCTTATAGGCCGTAACATGTTGGATGGCGGCCTTCTGGGCGAGGAGAGATTACAATGAGCTCACAACACACATTGCGTCATGAAAAACTATCAGAGTCAAATGCTGGGCCAGCTCCTTCCAGATGTGATAGATGTCCGAACCTTGCAGCTGTACCCTGGTTCACTGTGAAATACCGCTTGTGGACCCCATGGTCTACAGTGTACCAAATGAGGTGCATAAATTCCATAGCCCAATCCTTACAAAGAGAGGTGTTCTTTACGGAAATGAACTGGGCGGTGCGAGCACGCAATTCTGGCAGGTCGAACGAGTTGAAAAGTGATGTTGGGGCGCTTGCTCTGGTTCATGAATCAGGCAGGGATGCGTTAGGTTGTGTTGATACCAGTTCGTGTCATCAACGAGGAACGAGCAGGTTGTTGTTGATATACCGTTAATACCTTTAGCTGGCGGCGATTGATTATTTCCAGCAGAAGGACTCGGCCCACAAGGATAGCGATGGCGATAAGGAGGAAGTGCAAGGATGGAGCAATGTGCTCCTGGACAGATTATGCGCCATAGCAGCATCGCTCGATCCTTGATCATATTCTTGACTTCCAGGTACGGATTTCTTTCAAAAACTCTACGTGATGCCATCATGCATGCAGCCCTGCCCTGACCAATTGGGCCCCAGCATCGACTCTCATGACAAATCCAGATGGGACCCGTTGTGTAATGGGAGAGCGATGGATTTACTCCGCTCAATCAACTGATTTCAACCAACGCTTCTTCATTTCCTGGAGAATCTAAACTACAGTGGTCTACTCTCTCCCTCGCCCCCCCCCCCCCCCCCCACGGGCCATGCATGCTACGGGCTGTTCAGTAGAGGAAACATGAACTCGGCTCTTTTTTTATTTATAAGACTAGGCGTTGAGCATATCCATCTTGGACACCTTACCCATCAGGAAGAGGAGCAAGGCGAGGCGAACATTCTTGGCTAGTCTCTCTTTCTGTACTTTTGAATGGTGCTCTTTTATATATGGCCACGCTCCCTCGCGATATCCGAAATTTCATTCATTTCAGACATCTTCAGAGAGAGAGAGAGAGAGCCCACAAACGAAACTGAATCGGACTCGAAAGGGTGCTGTATACAAAACTTAGTCTAGCTGGAAGAGCAAAGATGCAAGTCGCACCACCGAGCACTCGCTAGACTTATCCGAGCGGTAGTCTATGCCTGGGATAAAACATCAATTCTTTTCATTTGTGGTCCTTTTGCTTGGTCCCTTCCGCGACGGCTGCTCCCAGACATGCGACATTAGCGATGTTCCGTTGAAAATCGAAGTAAGCGCACATACATCCTGTAAACATGATTAAAGGTTCCTTTCCCGCAGCAATTGTGTATGTACAGCTCTTTTTTTTTTTTTTTTTTTTTCTTTTTTTGTGCGAGTGTGGTTATCAAGAACAAACAGATCGTAATCCCTTCTTTTGAGGCTTGATATTACAAGCAAAATTACATTCCAATAGTTCTTGCTCGGATTATGGCATTCACAAGTGCAATCGGATATTCCTCCTGTAGGATGAGCCGATAAGAGCGAGATGTTGGAATGTTGTAAAACGCGCGCTTTTTTTTTTTTTTTTTTAACAATGGATAGCGGAGTGGAGAGGACAATGATGGTGAAGTGAGATGTATGCATGTGCCCTATGTTATGAATTGAGTGCTCTCAATGAATGGACAAGACAGCATGTTTTCAGGAAGGGTACATGCCAATGCAATGTAAATGCTCGGATGGGAGATAAAAGTAGAAAAAGAAAACTAAAATGTCATTTCGAGAGAGCAGAAGGAAGTGCCGTTTGGATGGAATAGAAAAGGGTTCCTGGGTGGGTACGAAAAAGAGGGGGACCAAACCGAAAAACACATTTTCCAACTGCACCCATACATTGAGAATTCTCTTATTTTTCTTTTTTCCATCCACTGAAAGTCGGCCTCTTTCCTCCTTCCTTCTTTTCCTTCACTTGGTCTTATTCACCCACACCAATACCCGCATTTACACCCACATCCACACTCACATTCCGAATACCCTTTTTGGTACCACTTTCTCTCGTCTCGTCATCACTCTCCCCACTCCGCTGCATTCGATCTTTCTTCTTCTCATCCGCGATCAGTCGTCCTTCTTTCTGATCACCTCTCGTACAACCTCGACTCTAACACGGCTGACTCCACTTGACGATAAGGTGAAGATTCATACAGGGCTACATGATGTTATTACTACGTTAACCCCGAAGGAATCCAGCCCACCGCGATGATATCCATTGTCGCCTTTACATGCCGACCAATTGACCAATCAGGGGATACTTACCCCACAATTGCCCCTGGCAGTTGTGTCAGTCTACCCCTGAAGAGGAAGCACCGATACCCTCACATTTCATTCAACCTCAACTTGAACGCGTTTGGAAAATGCCATACTGTCTTGAGAGAGATCCCATCTGTAGCCAGCGGTGACCGCCTCTATATGTTTCTTTCTCGCTCTTCGCTTCCAGCTCCATTTGCATCTGTCTGGGGTGTGCTCTCTCCTTCTTTTGTGCTGTCTCCTTGCAACCTAAATAAGAAGGGCACGCCCCGTCTCCTGGGACGCTCTCTCTCTTCTCTTTTTCTTTTCCGCTGCTTCGCTTCTCTTTCTTGGGTATAAATTATGCCTCGTTGCGACTCCTTGATTTGTGCACCGCATCGGAACCCAACATTCGCCCAGTGCGTGCGATAACTCTATGTGGGTGGCACAAAAAAAGGGCGTCCAAAAAGGTTGAGGTGCAGGCGATAGTTTGCAAGGGATCTGGCCCAGAGTATTTTTACGTCGCTGCACCTCATAATTACGATTATTTTATGCCCTCGACATTCCACCCGCCATAGAACCCCCAACGCAACTGAACGAAAAGAGGAAGAGAGCAAAAAGAGAAGAAGAGTAGAGAGGAGACAGAATAAGCATCGGATCATCGAAGGGTCCGCATGTTGTCAATCGGTGATGTGATATATTGTTACCATAGCACGCTCCATTGCATCCATAGTGTTAATGGTATCGATGGCACAGATATGCGAGCGCGTTGGTCTACTCTGCCACATTATTCATATCATCTACACGATATCGGACTGGATTCAACTAAGGAAAGATGATACAGGCGGTTGGTCGGGCTGGTTGGATGCGTCGCATGGAAAAGCATGGCAAACGAGAAAGCCAACACACGACTTCAGGGATTGCAGACTACATATACAGACTAACTGATCCTTTTTTCACACTCTTTTTTCTTTTCTTTCTTTCCTTTCTTTCCTTCCTTTCCTTTCTTTCCCTCTTTCTGAACGTCCTCCTCCTCCTCTCGTCGCGGCTTTCTTGGTTCACAGGCACAGGCACAGGCACAGGCACAAAGCACACACGTCTTTGACTCTCTCCTTTCTCTTCACACCCGCGTCCCAGGTAAAAAAAAAAAAAAAAAAAATGCAAGCCATTCCAATCCTATGTCTACTGCTGCTCTTGCACAACACGCGGCAGCCTTCTTTAACAGTGCCACACAACGGTTACAGGAATTAATACTCTCCATTCACTCGACGCCCTACCATTTGCCACCTTTGCATGCTTCCCGCTTACCTTCCTTCTCTCCGTGCCTGTCTTTTTGCCACAGTTTTATTTTACATGCCGACGTTGTATCGAATCATCAAATTCAATTGCAGACTAGCCCTGACCTGTGCACAGGTTACACTGAAGACGGATGATACGAATGTTGCGATTGACAGATTGGATGGGATGCAATGGGTGAAAGTGAAACGTGATCAATCTACTTTTCTTATTTTATTTTATTTCCCGACTCTGTTCCCATTGGATCATTCCTATTCTTTTTTTATACGAACTCTCTCTTTTTCCACTGCTTGCAGTGTGCGGGGAAAGGGAAGCGGAGGTCATCCATTCTGCTTCAACTGGGCCTGAGAAACTGAGGCGATCATGACAAGTGCATCCCATAAGCAACTGCACAGCATACTGTGAATGTCGCTGATGACCTTTGCACACTTTCACTCTTTCACGCTTACACACACATATGGCATTGGAGATGCAGCAGATGCAGTCGTATTGGAGGTGTGAGAGTTGGGGTGATCTGGTGTTGAAAGTGATGGCTCCTTTCTTTCATCCTTCCATCCATCGTCTTCGTCTTTTTATCGCTCTTCTTTCTTTCTTTCTTTCTTTTTCTCTCTTTCTTCTCCATCGACTCGCCATCGGCATCTCTCTATTTCCCATCTTCTAATCTCACTTATTCGCTCACCTCCTACCATACCTCCATCTTTCACTCATTTGAAATCCTGCCCACGAACACTTCCCTCCCTCCCTCGTTCACTCACTCACTCGTAACCCGTCCCCCATCTGCTTCGCTGGAGCAGTATCCTACCGCTGACCCTCGCTTCATCATCAATATATCAGTAATCAGCGGTGTAAGAAAACCAGCCAATTGGACCATATTCGCTCTATTGAGCATCTAAACGCAACAGAGTCCTACTCACTTAAGGACCACACTTGCACTGATATTCGACCCCGACCCTAATGGATTTCGACTCTTCCCTATTTCTCTTTCTCTGTCTCTCGCTACAATAGCATGAGTAGCAGTTCGCACAGCACTCATTCCTCCTCCAACGTTGTTGGTGTCCACTACAGAGTTGGCAAGAAGATCGGCGAGGGAAGTTTTGGAATCATCTATGAAGGCAAGTTCATCCTTTTTTATTTTTGCGTCGTCATTGCACGACGGTGGAATCAATGTGGAATCCCTTCGCATTGGAATAATGTTTTGTTCTATTCTGTAGACTAACGTGCCCGCTTTCTTATACTTTCAGGCACCAATCTGTTGAACAACCAGCAGGTTGCTATCAAGTTTGAGCCGAGGAAGAGTGATGCCCCCCAACTGCGCGATGAGTACAGGACATACAAGATCTTGGCAGGCTCAAGTAAGTTACGCAATTATTTGCCCCCTTCCCATCTTTTTTTTTTCCCAAGTACAACTGAAATATCATGACGAAGAGCATGACGACGGGCAGGTTGCCGGGTAGTGGCAAATAAAAAGGATCATCGAGCGCGGTAAAGCGATCATGGGACCCTTTCTCTCCCACTCTTTTTTCATATGGGTGTAACTGACGCAGAAGACTGAGGGCACAAGACGGCAAAGGCGGTTTGAAAAATATACAGACAAAGAGGGGCAGGCAGGCGACCTGCGCCTTTTTTTTGTACTTCCCGGCTGACATGCTGACATGCGGGTACATGATACATCATTGGGTGTTGCGCATCCGTCCGAGCTGGGGATTTACCGCCGTTGACAAAGAGAGCAGGAAAGACGAAGAGTGGGGGGATATCTTCGTCCTCCGCTACATTGCCGCTCATTTGCTTGGTCTCGTTCGCGTGTTGCGTGCTGCGATAGGCGATGATATCGTTGGGCGAATGATGGCAAGAGGCTAACCTGTGTAACCCGCTGCATCATTGTTTTTACCCTTCTTCTGGAATAGCCGGTATTCCAAATGCATTCTACTTTGGCCAGGAAGGCCTGCACAACATTCTCTGCATCGATCTGCTGGGACCATCTCTCGAGGACCTCTTTGATATGTGCGGCCGCAAGTTCACTATCAAGACCGTCGTCATGGTTGCCAAGCAAATGGTATGAGACAATGCTTGTTCAGTTGGAAACCTTGTACCTGTATTTGAGTGCAGAGTCGATTAACCTGTCACAAACATACTTCACATGTGTATTTTGCATTGTTAGTTGTCTCGGGTTCAAACGATTCACGAGAAGAACCTGATTTACCGCGATATCAAGCCAGACAACTTCTTGGTCGGAAAGCCTCACAGCAAACATGCCAACCTTGTCCATGTTGTTGACTTTGGCATGGCCAAACAATACCGCGACCCCAAGACGAAACAGCATATTCCGTACCGCGAGCGCAAGTCCCTCAGTGGAACCGCCCGCTACATGAGCATTAATACCCACTTGGGTCGAGGTATGGCTTTCTATCAATTACCGTGCGACATGCGACGTGCGACCAAAACAAGAGATTGTTAATGACTGAGTGCTTTCGCTCTTTGTTTGCAATCTGATAGAGCAATCCCGACGCGACGATTTGGAGGCAATGGGCCACGTTTTTATGTACTTTTTGCGTGGCGGTTTGCCATGGCAGGGTCTCAAGGCTGCGACAAACAAGCAGAAATACGAAAAGATTGGCGAGAAGAAGCAGTCGACACCGATCAAAGAGCTTTGCGAAGGATTCCCAGGTATGCATCTTGCCAATCTCGGTGTTTCTCCTGAGCAGTCATTCCTCTTTGCGCACATCCTGTCTAACACCTTTTAACGCTTTCTTTGCTGTGTTATACCGCGTTTTATAGAAGAGTTTGGTATCTACTTGAACTATGTCCGCAAGCTGTCATTCGAGGAAACGCCCGACTATGACTTCTTGCGAGACCTGTTCACAAAGGCGCTGAAGAGCATTGGCGAGGTTGAGGATGGTGTCTATGACTGGATGCTCCTCAACAACGGCAAGGGCTGGGAGGCGGAGTTGGACGTAAGTCGTTGAGGGTTTCTCAAGACCCAAGTTTAGTTGTTGTTGCCTTGTGGACGAGAACGTAACTAACTAATTTTTTTTGGTGTTTCTGCTGCGATAGTATTCCTTGAACAACCCTCTGCATGGACACCACCACGCCTCGGACGCCCGCCACCTCACATCACGCGATCCTCATTCGCAGTCGCAGAGACAGCTTCAGCAGCAACAGCAGCAACAACTGCAGAACGGAACCAAGGGCCCTCAACAGCCATCGGCGCTCGTGCACAGTAACTCGAAACTGAAGCACAAGCAGAGCACTTCTCGGGCAGCGATGGCAGCAGGCTCCGGTGCGGCGGGCGCAGGAGCCGTTGCGGGTGGCGATGCTGTAGAGCAGGATCTGTTGCGTGAACAAGGATACAGCCGGGCTGCACCGACCGGTCAACAGCAGGACGGACAGAACGGCGGCGATGGCAGCCAGAAGAAAAAAGGCTTCTGGAACAAGCTTGTCGGCGTCATTACCTGCAGTACGTAACAAGTCTTTTTCATCATGCACTATCTTGTTGGTCTCTCTTTTATCTTTCCTAGACATTTTTTTTCTTCTTTGATTCTCCTGCTTCTTCCTTTCATTTTCTTTCGTCCTTTTGTTCTTTGTGGGTGTTTTTGCTGCGCGGCCATTGTGTGTGGTTCTCTGTATTTACGCCCGATTACTTCTTCATAAAATATTTGATGACGCTTCCTAGGTTAAGCAGCGTCTCTGCCTCCCTTTTCTTCTCTCGACTTCGCTACTCATTCGTTCGCGCACTTGTTGAAAACCCATATTGAGAAAAACAAAGAGGCGTATCGAAAAAAAAGAAGTGACGAAGAAAAGAGTGTTTCGAAATGCAAGAACGCCTGCGGACCGCCAACATGCCATGACGGACCGAAAATACAACCCCCCCCCCCCCCCCCCCACCTACCTTAGATAATAATATTCCTCCTCCCATCCCCTTATCCTCGCATCCTCTTCTCCGTTTCTTTTCTTACATATCTACATCTATCTAATACAACATAATTGTTTTTACCCTCTTTGAAAGTTGCGTGCGCGCGTGTGTGTGTACCTGAGCTGATAGTAATGAATGAGCTGCTGACTTTGCGTACTTTTTTTTTTTTTTTTTTTTTTCTAAACTTGTAGACCATCCTACGACGACGGACTAAAGATCACAGCACAATGAACTCAATAAGCAACAACCCCATCTGCAAACCACACAGTTTCTCTCTCCTCTCGTTTAATATTAGCCTCTTCCTTCGATTCGCTTTTTCATCTTATCATCCTTATCGTGAACCCTCTCCTCCCCTCCCCTCCTCCCACCCCCTGGACGTTTCTTTTGGAAATGATGATAACATTGTAGACCTATTGCCTGGCCCTATTGGAACTTAAATAAAATTATACTCGAACATTTCGCTACCTACTTATGTGTTCCTTTGTTTTATGTGAATGTACAGTATGGCTTTATTTTGAGACGAGGGAGAGAGAGAGAGAGAGAGAGAGAGAGAGAGAGAGAGAGAGAGAGAGAGAGAGAACGTGTATATTTTCGATATAGGATAAAGGACCAGGTTGTCAGGATCAAGGCCAAGATCCAGGTTCTAATCTGCCATAGCCAAACAAAGCTCAATTCCCCTCTCCACGACCTGGAAACGACACAACGCGGGCTCGATCCACAGACTCGCCAGCCCGGCAATCATGATGCCCAGCCCATCCGCGACTCCCACAACGCCCAACGCGAATTCCTTCCCCTTAGGATCATGTTCAAGATACTTAGAAATCTCAATATAAGTATGAACATAGGTCGCTCCGCCCAATAGACCTTCCCAAAGGATCAGGATAAAAATCAAGTAGATGCTTGGGATGGGCGCGGGGGTGGTCGCAGTGGTGAAGATGGCCTGGGCCGTGGCCACGAGGAGGGTTACGAGCTGCAGGGCCGAGGGAATCCAAAGACGGGGAATCGAGACCAGAGAGGCGGAAGATCTACTGATAAATACTCCTAACTGTTCACGTAAGAGAAGCAAGCAAGGCCCAGTATGCGGACGAAAATATAGAGGCGAGTAAGAACGTTGGTCAGTGAGATCGTTGGATCGCTTGATTATTATAAAAAAAGAAGTTTGAGAACTCCGTATATACCTGGTATATTGCAGAATAGGTTACGTAGTGCTATGAATAACAAGAGGAACGTTCATAAGGACAGCATTAGAATTCGTTCGCTCTATCAATCAGTCAGAAGCATGTCCATGAAGAAATCAATCAATCGATCCATGACTTACATCGCGTAGATGGGTAAAGGGCGTTTTCTCCAGCGGGAATAATATAACCGGTAATACACCCTGGTTCATGGTATATTCACTTTTCATAGAACAGAAACCCCCCACAGAACGAACGTCAGTTAACCAGCTTCAAAAGCTCTTCACTCTACCTCTCGACACAATCCAAACAGGGAAGGTTTGTATGTCCAACTTACGCGACATAGACTAGAAATAACGGCACCATATATGGCATCAATAACGACTTGGCCATGGCCAATTTCTCCTCCAAGGTCATCGCATCGTTCGGCTGAGACTTGTAAACTCGTCTTATATTTGATGTCGCATCCGAAACCTCTGCCTCTGTGAACGGAGGCACAAAACTCGGGTCATCTGGATCCGTCGCCGCAAGAAGCGTATTGATCGACGTCGGCTCCGCCTGAGACTGTGGTGACGGTCCCCAGTGCACAGTATCCCAAGGCGCCAGCGGCAACGCCGCCGGTGCCAGTGCTGTCGTTGTTGGTGGCGTTTGATTAATCGGTGGTTCCATCGTCACAGAGATCGCTGAACTGTCTTGTAACGACGGAAGCGAAGGCGACAATGCTGAAGCCGATCGAAGAAGCATCGGGCTATCGGCTCTAGTGCTTCCTTCCTGTAATTGGCCATGGCCCTTGCTCGTAGACACAGCCGAGGGAAGTGACTCTGAATGATGTCGACGATGTACGCCTATGGGTGAGGCGAGTTGCTCCTCCTCCAGATCCTGATTGCTACTATAAATCTGACTCGAGGACGAAACGGGTCGATATCCTGCAGCATGGTGTCGAGAACTCTGCGTTGATGGATCCGTTAGGATGATGAAATAAGATATCATCATCATAACCGGGAATAACTATTCGGGGGGGGGGGGGGGGGGGGTTTTCAAAGCAAAATTAATATCAGTTACAATCATGCTTTCATTTCAAGCCAGTTAAGACTCCTTTCTTCCCTTGATATAAGTGATCCGTTCATTTCAATGTAAACGTACAGCGACAACGCCCAGAGTTCGAGGGATGGACAGCCCAAACCAAGAAGTCAGCGCCAGAAATAATAATGCGCCCAGTAATCCTGCTCCTCCTGTTCCGCTGGACCAAGCCGAGACCATCCGCAGGGGATAGAAGGAGCTCAGCATCAGGAAGGTTAGTTCTCCAAGTCCTGAACTCAATGAGGCCATCATCACGCCCACGAGTCGCACCGAGATTGTTTCAGCCAATGCAATCAACTATTGCAAGGATAATTAGAGAGCATCGTTAGAAAAAATAACCAACAATAGGCAGACATCATGAAGTCGTGAAGTACATCAAGGACGTACAATAACTGCACTGAACGAGAGCGAGGCGCAAAATATGACTCGAACGGGATACGGGACTCTGTGGATAAAATAAGGCGCTGTCATCTTGATGAGCAGCGATGGAGTGATATCCGCCAATAGCACCAGACCCTAAAATGTTGCGAAAAGACAAATACCGAGAAAAATGGCAATGGGTAAGAGCAGTTAACCATTTTAGTTGTATTCGCCATCTCATCTACGAATCCTATGGTAGATCCGGCCCTCCTTTTCCGAATGCTGTCTACCCTCCAATGATTTTCCAGTAGACCTCTGCGCCCTTTGAGTCCTTAAATGATGACCATGCTCCGATGGTCCTTGAGCAGATCCTGCATCCGTCAAATATTGTCTAAGATGCAATATTTTTTGATGTTGTTGGTGTTCCAATGCTCTTTAAAAACGCTTCTGTTCCTTTCGAGTAACATCCACTGCCCATTGCTCCTTCAAATATAGATGCCGCGTCCAGATGTCCCAGCTACTCCCGCTTGCAAAACAACAAGAAAACGATTTGCATTTACGTCATCGAGTCTTGGTGGCATCGTACCTTTGGGATTTCGGCGCCGACGAGATCTACAGCCGCAGAAAGAATCACAACATAGATGAGATTGTTTATGCTAGATCAGGACAGAGCGGAAGAAAGTAAAGAAAAAAAAGGGGAGCAGTTTGAGTCCAGTTGAGTTCGTGGGCTCTAGTTCAGGCGCAGCCGTTGTGACGAGGTGCCTAAGTTTCCAATTCGGTTATTACCATCCTATTAGTGAACATGGGAATAAGAAGGAGCTGATGAGTCAAAGAGTCCTTGAGCAGAGCATTGATGTAAGAGCAACGAAGGCAACGGGTTCAAGTGTACCAAAGATAAAAAAGGCTACCCAGTCTCGATCGATGCGTCCTTCGAGTAAATGCGAGTTACTTTTCCGAGAGTACGGCAGGTCTAGTTTTTATATGTAGCGTGCCAGAAAACGTAAAAGAGGTCTCTGTGTTAGATAGCATCAGAGCCTTGATATAAAGCAGAGGAAGATACTGTAAGGGGATCTCTGTGGATAGAGAGCGAAGGTACCATTCTGATCGGATTCTGAGAGATATTCGTAACGGTCGGTTCGAAGGGTAGGGTTGTTGACCGTATTAGCATCCGACTGCCGACGTTTGAACCAGCTAAGCAGAGCCGACATAGGTGGGGAGGTGCAATAGGAAATAAAGAAATGGCCAAGGGTATATGTGATCCGAATGAAGCTAATGAGAGAAGGAAGGAGGGGAGGAATGGATGGGGTGAAGAGGTGGATCTGATGGAACAAAGAGCAATGGTTGCATGCGATCACAACAGGAAGGAGGGAACAGAAACAACCGCAACACCGACGATATCATCATCATCAAGGACCCTGTCTGTGCCTTTTTGCTCGCATGAATTTCCGAGAGTCTCCCTCATTCCCCACACGAGAAGCCCCCTACTGGACTTGTCTCGTGAGGTCCTTCAACCCTGGTTGCCGCCAATTCCCGTGTTTCTTCAATTGCACGCGAATTTTGCTGTTTCAGATTCAGAAACCAAAATCTGGGGCCATCCAGCGCGTTCATCACTTATGCTGCAGCCTGTCCTGTTGTATGGGTCTATTTCCTGCAGTCCTCTGGAATTGAATCTGAATTGGATCTCCACATATGGATAGAGAGCACGAGCCATCTGCAGCTTCTTTGTCTGACCCATGCGAAGCAGCACGTTGCCAGCAGGGTATTTCGCGTCTCTCCTTTGAGGCTGTACCTGTACCCGGTCATCACTGCCGCCAACAACGGCTGCGCTTCCTTTAAAAAGGGAGGGAAGAGTCGACGAAAGAATGACGGGCTGTCCGAATAATAGGGGCTAACAGCAGTGGCGATGCTTGCGCTTGTAAGACTACAGGCATGCACCAGCAAGTAGGGGTATGTTTGTAACAGGTAATAGGGGGAAGTATCATCGGTATGCCGCGTTCTCTTCAAAAGGTCACCGTTGGTGGTCATGGGAGAGCTCAGCTGTCTCCTTTTTTCAATGCTCATAAAAATACAACTTTCTCCACATACACTCTTTAAGTAGACATGGTGTGATACGCCAATGCCATCTACATATACCATGCCATACTATGCGGTGTAATGATATGCCATGCGTGCCTTTGACCCTTTTTTTGTTGTTGTTGTCATTGTCACTCTATTTTCCTTTATGTCAGCAGCACACTGGCCACCCACCACTAGGCCACCACTTGGCAGCCACGCCCTTTCTTTGACCCCTGAGAACGGCGGTGGGGTTTGATTGTTTCTTCATCGACCTGTCAGTTCGCTTTTTACTTTTCACCTTCTCCACTTCCATTCCTATCTTATCCAATTATTCATTCATCCTCTCCACCCTGTTCGTCTTGTAGTCGTCTTTCATGATCTAGCACTGTCTTCACACACCCATCGACACCTTTTCTTCCACTTTTTAGATGTCCATAGAGCACTTCACAACACCCTCATTATCCTAATACCCTGTACATATCCTGCAACGCAGCATTCAACCCTCTTTCTTTCTAATATACACTTCGCTATCCTCTAATGCTCCTTCGGCCCAAGTCGCGACTATTTCTGTCCAACAGCTTTATCTCTCTCTTCCTTGCCTTCGCCGTTTCAGGACTACTACTACTACCATCGCTCACTTATGCAGGTACGCTTTCTTTTTTCGCTTTCATCCTAATGCTTCACGCGAAACTACATAGCGACCATGGCATTAATTAAACCTCCCGTTCGATCTCTTTTGTAGGAACAACAAGCGCACGCCTTCAATGCCAATACTCATTCCTCGCTATCACAAACCTCCTCCAGGACCCCTCCTGCACTCTCAAATCCATCACACCTTCCCCCTCGACCCCTGCACCTCCCTCCATCCCTTCCTCACCACCACTCTCACCAGGACCCTTGACCTCCCCACCCTCAGCTTCCTATCCATGGTCAACCACTCCTGGTTGGACGTATAACCCCATATTTTCCTGCTGTGCCTTCACACCTACCTCCAGCTCGACCCCTGACAATGAGACCAACAGCACACCACCTACTTTGATCACCTCCATAGATCTCTCAGAGTACGCGGCCTTGATCGATGAGGGACAGCAACAGCTGGAACTCTCGATCAGTTATTATACCTCAGATGCTCCTGCTTCCGCGCAGGATTCTACTGTTTCGGCCGTGGATACGTTCCAGGTGATCGTGCGGTTCCTGGATGTTAATGGAGCGTACTTGGCTGCGGATCCGGAGACGGGCGATACCTCGGAAGTGTTGCATCCGGGGGATGCGGAGACGTTGTTATATTATGCGTTTGATGCTGTGACATTACAACCTGCTAGAGTGCCCCTGGGCGCTAGGGGTGTGGTTGTACAGATCCTTGTGCCGATGACGAAGACGTCTTTTTGCTTTGATTACTTTGCGCTGAGACTTTGTAAGTGTGTGTGTGTAATTCGGCTAAGACGGATCAAAATAATCTACCATCTACTAACACGCGTCTTTTTTTTCATATTTCAAGTGCAAGGATCGTTTCATCCAACGTTGGAGAGTTTGTTGCAAAAGTTCTTGATCGCTCTTGGAGCGCTCGTCATGTTCAATGCCATTGTGATTCCGATAGTTTTGTTCTATGGCCTGCCCGGATGGCTCTGGCGATCTGCGTAGGTGCCCTCTTCTCCTCTCTCTCTCTTTTTTTTTTTTGGGCCGAAAATAACCTGTGCAGAGACCATTGCAAGCGAATATAAGACTGTCTCTTAACAGTCAAATCAATGCGCTCTTTTTCTTCAAACCTTAGCCCGGTCAACTTTTTTCAAAAGAACCCAGTCGTGGACCACTATGTCCCCCTAGCGCTCTTTATCTCTACCTGTCAATGGATCTACAACATCCTTCTCCAATATCTCGGCGGCTCGTCTCCAAAGACTTCCATTATCCACTCCCGGCAGGCGCTCTGGTTGATCCCCCTAGTCTTGATCGGGACTTTCTTTATTGCAGCCTTTGCACATTGGGCGCTCTTTCTGTGCTATAACCAAGTGATGCAGCAGCCTCGACAGCGACACAGTGCTCGATCTCAGAAATGGAGGGCTCCGCTTCTGGGACTGTGGGCGGCCTTGTGTCTTTTGGGAGCCAGAATCGGAATTGTGGCGCTCATGGCCGTCCAGGGAGGGTATTGGTCAATCGTGGTCGGGATCTTGTTGGCAATGCCAGAGACGGTGGCGATGATCTCCGTGGCTGTGTTCTTTATTAAGACCCTGTGGAAACTCTTTCGGGGACGACGGGCCAGTAGAGGAGTTGGAGCCAAGGGTATCACGGGAGGTGCAGGAAGTAGCGGCAATAAGAGTAGCAGCGACGGTAGTCGTCCTGACTTGTCGAGGTCTTCTTCGATGACGCCGCTGTGGGATGCCAACACTGTTGAGGCGGTGCTTCCGGATGATCCGCAGGACGATTTGGTCAACTTGTCGAGCTATCATCATCGAGCGTACGTCAAGTCGCTTCTGGTTCAGGAGCAGGATCTAAGAGATGCGGCTGGAAGTATGTATGGGCAATCGACTATTGGATCGAACAAAACCTCTATGGCACCTTATCGACAGGCGGGAGTGTCGTCCAAAGGCAGAGACGATAATAACAGTCGGTACCTTGGTTCAACCCTCAATACCACTATATCCTCCACCAGCACCGACTTCTCGAGATATCCGACAGAGTTTGATTTCAATATTCCACTGGATAACCATCTTCGACCTCCACCGATTTCACCTTCTGCAGGATTCGAGCGAGGCAGGAGACAGTTTCCATTTGATCAGGGTAGTGGACTACAGCCGGCTTATGGAGGTGTTCGTCGTGGAGTTATTCGGTCGGAGAAATCGACAGCTACGCCGTCATCTTCGTCTTCTCAGGGCAGTCGGGCTAGGCCTCCGATGTATACTCGACCGAGTAGTAGTCGCGAAGGATTGAGTGCTCACAAACTAACATGGAACTCTGCGACAACATCGTATACGACCGCGTCGGCAGCTCAGCCCATGACAGGAGCTGCACCTACGCCCTCGGCTTGGGAGTATGTCATTTATCCGAGGCTACATGTCTGGCCTACGATCGTGGGGACCTATTTGCTCATTGCTCGCTTGCCGCTCAGGATTCTAGTTGCTGTCATGACGACTTTGGTGTTGTGTTACGATGTGCTGTTGAGTATTGGGGCCGCGGAGACAATGCTGGCAGTGCCGGTATCATGTCTGCTTGGAGGGTTTGCGTATCCAGGGGCGAATCAGTTTGATAACACGATGAACGTGGCGAGGGCGATGCATACGGTGAACCTAGTGTTGGTGGTAGTGCTGTTACCGGCAGTAGTGGGCATTACATTGCTGCATCAGATAAGGATGGTGCAGAAGTATAATTGGTGTCTGCGGTTACTCAGGATCGGGAACTATGGCTTCGTACCCGGTGGTCGTGGTAAGCACTGCTGAACAGTTCATTTCCGTGTTCTGACAAAGCATTTTTGCCAACAACATAGTTTTTTTTATTAACGCGCGTCTTTCATTACACATTTTCATGATCCGTGTCGCCTGAAATAGAGTACAAACAGCATCTGAAGCATCCGGTCCGGTTCATCGGCTATACGGTCGGTTTTGGCGTTGTCGGACTCTGCTTCACCGTATTTCTCCTCTTCACGCTCTGCACGGTCATGGCCATGCTCCTCGTCGCCGCGACCTTCCGGTCCTCACTCTTCCGAACCCTCGGCACTCGCGCCCTTGCCGCCTTCGGAATCTCCTGTCTCTTAGTCCTGATTCTCTGGCTCGTTCAGATGCTGGTCATCCGGTACCGGTTTCGGATGCCCGGCTCGAGATTTCTTCTCGCGCCTCAACAGTCCGCGCGGGCGAGTTTCCATCACTGGGAATTCTTTTGGGCCTTCTTCAATATCGTTTTCGGAGCATTTTCGTTCTGTAAGCGGATTGTATTGAGCGTCTTGAGTATGGGAATTTACTCCACCAGGATTGACCTGTGTATTATGGGAGGGAGGTTCCGGCCATGGGATGGAGGTTATTCGGCGTTTGTGGGGCTGGTGTTGGCGGACCATGTGTTGAATAATCCGATCGTGTTGGAGTTTGTACAGATATTGAGGGATTTGTTGTTGGTGCGGAGATATCCGCAGCTGGCGCAGACTTATCTCGAGTACAGGACCCGGTCAGACGACTGGGAGCAGGGTGGGGATGGGAAAGCAGAGCGGGATCGACGGTTGATGATGGCGATCATGGGCTCGAAGCAGCAGCAGAAGCAAGGCGGAGGAGGAGCGGGTCCGGGGTTCGGAGCACGTAGGCCCTTGGGCGATATTGAGGAAGGCGAAGAAGCAAGGATGGATGAGTTGTTGATGGCGACGTCGGGATCTGGAGACGGAGGGCCGCTACTGGCTGTGAAGGGAGGAGCGGCTGTGCCGGAAGTATCGAAGATTCATCATTACTTCCGTATCGACCCCAGGGTTGATCGTCATAGACCTGGTCAGGGCCCCTCACCATCGTCGTCGCGTCCCCTGTCTTCTTCTTCGGTTGCGTCGTCCTCATCCTCGCCACCGCCTGCGTATAACAACAACAACAACAGCAACAATAATTACCGCGCCTCGAAGGTCTACACGCCCATGTTATCGACAGACGGCAAGTCAGGGAACAACAACGTCCATATCCAGCTCGTCGAACCCCTCCGAGCACAAGCTGATCCCGAATCCACGGTCTCCCAGGAACAGATCCGGCAGAAGCTATCGGAAGCGAAACTTCGATCGATTCGGGTACGGAACCGGTGGTTTCTTTATGTCACACTAGCGAGGAATCCCTCGATCAGGAACTTGAGGAGAACGAGTGCGAGTGATTTCTTGCACCCGATCGGGCATGGCCCTGAGTACCTGGGGTCTCACCAGGAGGAGTTCTTGGCGGATATTCATTGGGATCGGGAAGATTGATCTTGCATGCGCAGAGCGGAAGAATGATTTGGCAGATAGCGAAGGAACGAGGGAAGCAGGAAGTGGAAGAGTTTGTTCCGCAAGACGGCGAAGATTCGGGCCAGCTCTCTGTGGATTGGTTTAAAAGACGACATGCATTTTTTTGAAGATAGATCATGTAATTTTACTATTTAAATAATGATGATAGGTATGAAGACATAGCATAAGATCATGGTGATGGTAGCTAGATGTAGAACATGTTCAGGTATAGAGATGTCCGAGGGTGCTGCAACAACACTTGGACGTGGTCAAAGTTTGCGTGCCTCGAGAATCTCTCTCTGGGCTCGTAGAATTCCTCTGTAGAAAAGTCGACCGTCGCCGGTGCTATCAATACCGTCCTATATGACATGTTAAACCCGTAGCAGGCAAAAAATGAGAAGCAAGGTGGTTAGTAAATACTTTTGAATCCTCATGCCTTTTTTTTTTTTTTTTTTTTTTTAGTGGAAGGATTCATCAGCGAACGAAGGGTTCGAGGCGATTTCAACACTTTCGCAACATACCGTTCATAATGAATGGGTCCTGTCTTCCGAAAGAGAACAGCCTGCTGTCCTCTCGACTCGCGCACGCTCTCCAGGAGCGCCCTGTCGAGCTTTGCTGCGGTTCCATCCAAATCCTTGAGTAGGTCCCTGTAAGATTTTTCTCGCCAGTCAGAGATGGTCAAGTTAACGCCGTGCGATTGCGCAGCCGAGAGACTGTAGCCGAAGAGGTGGTGCGGGGGGAGATAGGTTTTGTAGAAGATAATGTGTGTTGTATAGGACATGCCGTCTTCAATATGCAACGTTCCTAGCGTTCATTTTTCATTTCACGTAGTAAAAAAAAAAAAAAAAAAAAAAAAAAAAGCAGATTAGAGGCTTCATTCATTTCATAGAGGTAAGAGCCGTATATGGATATCTGGCTGGGCTAACCTTGTTCGGATGGGGACGTTAGACAGAGCATATGGTCGCGAGTTGATGATACGGGTTTGCAATCCTGGAACCCCAAAGACTGTCGTTGCACCAGTTCCGTCGCTGGCACTACCCCTGCCTGATGGAAAAGTCCGAAAACGATAGCCATCACTCCATTCACCAGTAGCCACAATGGCTATGGCACACATAAAAGCATGAAGAACATGGTGATGATTAGTGATTTTTTCAGCCTTCGTATCTTGCACTCCATGGATTTGTAGCTATACTATCTGCAAAGGGTTTCGTACCCAAAATTTTCGTCCGAGCTTTGATATTCGTCCAGAGAGCGAGATGACCAGTGGAAGGATCAGCGGACTCAGAAACCGGGCCTCTTGATGGGGCATTGCTGACAGGAACAATATCCCACAGATTCCAGAATATACCACAGCTATTAGTGCGTTTGCACAAGAGTATGTTAGCCACTCAAAAAAATACTGCTAGGGAAGGCATGATGATGACCAGGGCCTGCAGCAATTTCCAGCGTCACTACCTGTAACAAGTCTGGACTCGCTTGAATACTGCCGTGCCCTGACTTTCTTCGCCGCTGTGATTACACCGATCCAGGCCAGGTTCCCAAACAGGACCGGAAAGTTCAAAAGCAAGTGAAAGAGCCTTGGATGTAAACCATGCTGCGCCAAGTTCTTCTCGTCCAGATTGTACTTCAGGTTGTTGAGCATCGTCACGGTTAACGAGCCCTTGTAAGATAAATTTGTCCAGTCCATGGGATGGGTGGTGACAATCTGGGAAAGTGAGAGAGGCGTCCCAATGGTTTTGTTGAATATAATGAGTTTGCGGAAGTAGATCGAGTCGATGATGATTGCAAGTGAGGACATGAAGAAGAGGCCAAGTGCCAGGGGGATGCATGATTGAACGAATTGACTTAGCCCTGTCAACCTGAAGCCCCAGCCGTTAGGTGATACGACGTTGCGGAGGCGGATTGTGTTAGCAAAATATAGCAAAGGGAAGAATGTCTGGTCCATGGCACCAGCAGGAATATTTTACATATCAACATTACTTACAGTGGTCTGCCTCGTCTGAAGGACACTTCTTTGTTAAGGTAGAGGAACATGACGCCCAAAGGGAAGCCATAGAGCACGAATGTAATCCTCGTAAAGATACCGATCGAGAATAAGAGTCCCAATCCAAACGACAGGATCGTCGGTGTAGGTTTCAGGTTCGAGCCTATCCCCGAATAAGCGCTGCTGTTGGGTGCTACTGTTAAGCCCTCAGACACCGTTGAAACATTGGCATTCGTCAAAGACTGTACTGGTGTAGACATAGATGCCTCATGTTTCTGAATAATCTTTCCGAGTACGACGGCGCACAGAGCCAGGACAACGGTCTCGGTTGTATTCGAGAACGGATGTGTATGATAGGTGAGCGTGACATAGGAGGATGAGACGAGGAGCAGGGCGATCGAAGGTGATCTTCGGATCTGGCGCGCCAATTGAACCACAGCCCAGTCTATTTTCACATATGTAATGCGCTTGCATGAGTGTGAGCATTTCACTAAAATTGAGGTGAAGCTGGTCAGGATAGGACGAGAGAGGACTTACCGATGACAAGCGAGAGGAGAACAAAAGAGAGTCGCTGTGTGAGGAAGAGCGCGCGGGTGGTGACATAGTGGTCTAGATGAATCGGATCAGAGTAGTCCTGGGTTAGCCCCTTTCTGTTGGGCTCGTCCCTGAGTAGCATTCAGGTACTGGCATGTGCAAGGTGCTGTCGTCCTTTCAGGCTCCAGTTGGACGTGTGTTACCTTGGTCAGGGCCTATCCAAGAGCGCAGGATAATGTAGGGCAGGCCTGTGGTTATTGCTCTAAATTGAATTGGAAGATGTTTCGTTTGAGTGGATACGAGGGTATCGATTTTGGTATCCAGTGAAGGCAAAGGACAAAAGACAAGAGACATACGGGATAAGGATGGATCGGCAGGGCAGCTCCGGCTTGTATTCCCAGGGAATGTCGACCTGGATGCCAAAGATGTGTCCTAGAAACAAGATATAGGCGCGTGATGTTTCGCGGATCAATTAGTTCATTCGATCGACACAGGATATCAATACCAATTGAGAAAAACACACACGTTACCCGCTGTAATCTCTGCGGACTGAAAGAACTCGTCCGGGTGGATGTATCCGGGTGAGAGGGCGATGAAGACGCGGACAGCGAGCAGGAACAGGTAGAGGTTCCAAGTGGCCCTGGAGAAAGGCCTGTGGTGGGACATCTCTTCGGCATGCGCTCGCTCGGTAGTCAATATGAGTGATGCCGCTGAGGAGAGGAACGAGTAGAAATACGGCTGAGACTAAGGAGTGAAGGATAGAGGGTGGGAATGGCAGAATGGAGGATGGTTGTGTTGCAACGGAATGATGGAGGTGGAGCTGGGTGCCGCCAGCCAGCCATTGCTACTCTCCCCTCGCAAAGGTGCTCGCTTACCTGCTTACCAGTAATTATAGGCCTAATCGCATGTCCTACACCGCACCACATACCCAAGCTTTCATGGACCCGTCACAGCGCTCTGTCAAACAAAAAAATAAACGCGTTTGGATTGCTTTGCACACCTCTTTTCCTTTACTGAATCCAATTCACTGTACACACGCGCTGTCATCCTCGGACCACCCACTCCTTGACCCCCATTAAACACTCTCTGCCGTGTGCTTTCTCTCTGTGAAAGAGATCCTGCCGATCAGTTACCAGTAGCACCAACCACAGGACGATCAGCCATGGCACCCGTCGCGCCCATGTGGTGGTTCAAGGAGGTCCCTGTCCAGCTCGAGACTTTTGTAGACACCCAGCACTCTGTCACACACAACGTACCCCGCCCGAGAAACATCCCCACATACTCGCTTGAGGACCACGGTGGTCAGCGCTTTGAAAACCAGGGCGGTGTCTTTGCCTTCCCGAACCAGTATGCTAAATCCGTCGCCTGGAGGACCAGAGCCAACGCTTCGGTCCTGGAGCTGATCTCTCTTTCAGGGAAGGAGAACACGCCCACACGCCAGATCTCCTTTCAATTGCACGCGCCTATTCTCTCAGGGATCCATATCGCTCCTTTGACACAGCATGGAGGGATTGCCATCGCCTTGCTGACGGCGGACAGCGTTCTCTATCGACTACATATCTCGGCTCTCAGCCGCTTCTCGACCAGGGACATGCCCGAGGATTACTCATCAGCAGTGCAGATCAAGTGGCCGAATAACAGCCTGCCTTTGTCCTTCCGTTATTTGGGGGACAGACAAGCTGCCGTGACTGCAACCAACGGAGCCCTTTTTCTCATCAAATCTGCATTACTCGCAGAAGACACCAATCGACATGGTAAGCGGGAAGTGTTCTGCTCTGTTGTAAACAAGTCAAGGTGTGTCTTCTACTGCAAATGCTAACAAAATGCGATTATCATTAATGCGATATAGAACATGCAGAAGTCAAGGTGTATGATCTTCACGACGACTCGCATCTTACCAACAGGATCCAGCATGTGTCCACCATCCAAAAGATCTGCTCTAAATTCCAATCAGTATTTGATCACAACCTATCAGTCCCAGCTGGGTTCCCAGAGGCAAAGGCATATCTAGATATCATGGCTATGGAAACGTACACGACACACGACGACACGCTCTTGTTCACGCTCTATCAGGACAGGACGATCCGCGTATGGTCGACAGGTCGCCGTCAGTGCATGCAGGTCATGAGAAGCACACCTTCCCCCAACGAAGCTGGATATATGCAGGAGACTGTCGAAGGCGCTTCGCGAGCTCATCTAGGAATCTTATTCAACCCGCTGATGCCATGGCTTCTCCGACTCTTGGTTTACATCCCGACGGAGAATGATGCACAACTGTCCATCTTCACTGCTCTCCTTGATACGACAGAGGATGTGGAGTTCGTTCCAGGATCAGTCAGTACCATTCGCAGGCAATCAGCAGTAGGCCCTGGAAGCAGCCCAGTAAATCTCGTTAGCATGGACATTAGTCTGAATGAGAGCCAGACAGGATATATGGTTTGGGGATTATGGGAGAGTGACATGAGGATATCAGTCAAATACATCCATATCGACGACCACGCCCTGGACCGGGAACATTTTCATCAGCTTACCAAGCGAGACCTTCTGAACGGCCGTTGGTGGGCGGTAGCAATGCATACTCCGCCTAGTGGGTTCCTTAAGTCCATGAGCGTCGTAGATGACGCCGTTGAGGATGTGTCAAAGTACTATGCAGAATACGTCTTTACGGCGGGTCGTTTCTCGGACAGGACTATCATGCTTGCGCTGAGCTCGCTTTTCAAGGATCAGACTTTTACATTCGATTCGGAACTTCAGATGCATGTGATGGAAGCCATCTCGGGAGCAGTGGCACTGGCGTACGGAACTTCAGCGGCAGACACGAAGCGATGCAGGCAGGATGAAATCATGGCATGGACGCGCTTCATCTCCAGCTGTGCCAAACTGGATTATGAGGCCTCTTTACCCCTCAGTCTCTCGGTTGCAACGGACACAGGATACGCGATCATTATCAAACAGGACTCCCTAAGCTTTCTCACCGCGTGCGATGAGTCCGAGATTCTCTACCATACCTTGCAGGATGAGCAGTTCGAGGTCGCTCATTTCATCGCTACGCCTCCATCGCAGCTTCGGAGTACATACCCAAAATTCCAGGACGCCACTTTGCGCCAGGACATTTCCAAACTCTTCAACGCCATGAGTTACTTGACTCGTGCGATCACTACAGAAACAGCCAAGAATTTGGAGACCACCATCTCCTCACTCTCTGCTGCAAACGGGCCCAGGAATTTTATCGACATCTTTTCTCAGGCACATCTCCCTCAATACATCGCCAAGACGGACATGAACAGAGCCAGGAACCTCCTTTCTTCATGCAAAGCGCCGACAGATGCCATTAAATCGGTCCTCTTGCAACTTCTTTATAATGCGGACAGCAGCTCATCAGGACTGGCCTCAAAACGCTGCATTCTTCCATACGAATCCCTTGTAGCTGCCAGTATCCAGCAAGTTGCAACCCACCGATACACAATTGCCCAGAATCTCCTGATCCTTGTCACGGTGATCTTCAGTAAAGCAGCATCGTCCAGGCCATGGATTCAGGAAGAGACTCAGCTCATTTCCGACGCAATACGTATTACCCAGTCGCTGCTGGTACTAAAGTGGATCTCCAACCAGGCAATTTCGTCAACAAAATCTGCGACTACAGGATTAGAGCAGCAACTTTCGCAGATGCAAGTCCAGGATGCTAGCCTCATCAGCACACAGCTCTCTCATCGGCAAACCCTGACAGGCTCGCTCTTAAAGACAATGGCTTCTGAGGCTGGCAAGTATGGCGCTGTCGAATTCCCGATATATCTTGCCATTCCGCGCGCTGTTTCAAAGTTCTTGTACCAGATCGGCATTCTTAATCAAGGGCAAGAGGACGGATCTAGGTACCACGCTGGACTGGCGCAGCGACTTTCGAGCATAGGCGAGATGACGCTGCTGTCGCAGTTCTTGGATATTGTGCCAACTACGTCGTCGCTATCGTACTACCGAGGAAAAGTGTTACTAAGCCAGGGTCAACCAGCAAAGGCACTTGATCAATTCATGGTTGTCACAGCAAGTTTTGGTAGGCCATTCAAGCTATGCCATGGATGCGAGGCATATTGTGGAGAGGCATCGATTTTGCTAATATATTGTTTGGACCGCTAGGCAATGATGTCAAGAGTGTGGATATTGAGCTGGACATCATGCAATTGGACTATCCAACTCGAACGAGTCGAGGACACGCTAGGCTCGAGGACTATTACAACCATGTGATTAACCTGTTTGCAGAGAAAGAGGCCCACGAACAAGTTATTGTCGTTGCCAGATTGGCGTTGATTGACCTGTTGAATGTATGTCTTCAAAGTGTTTTACAGACTGATATAAGCAAGCGAATTTTACGACGGTATCAGTTCTGACCTCACAATTGTCTTATACTTTTTCGTACATAGAATGAGAAGACCCAAGTCATGGAAACTCAAGTCCGAATGCTGTTGGCATACATCTTTTCGTCTGCAATGTCCGTTGGCCTCTACGAGCACGCGTTCAACGCCATGATGCAGATGTCCAACGAAGCTGCGTACGTCGACTTTTAGGGGAATGCACTTTAATACCCATTGTGACTCACAATCGTTGTGAACTGACATTATTTGCATCTACCTTCTGCCATTTGCTCATAGACGCAGGCAATGGCTACGAACTTTTGTGTCCAATGTTTGCGAGAACGGCGATGGTGCGAAGCTGGCATTATTCCCCTTCAATGGGCTTCAGGACGAAGTTGAACGAATGCTTCAGCTGAGAGCTGAACAAGGGGCGATTCTCTCCAGACCAGACAACTACAACATTCTGTATGCGTATTATGTATACAGAGGGGACCACAGAAATGGTATGAAGAAACGTAGAGTGCTGACCGTCACGATGCTGCTGGTAAGGATGGAGATGCGATGTGCGAAAAAAAATCTGACGCTATCGACCTGTCTCTATCACTGTCTAGCCGCGACCATCATGTGTCAGTATGCTCGGAGACTTTGCGATACCTCGAATCAGACAGAATCTGTCCTTGCGCTGTTGTCTGCAGCAAGCTGTGCGTACCTGGCCGCGATTAATACACTCTATCTTGCTGGACCTCAATACACTTGGGTTGCCATCTCAAACAAAGACTCAGAATCAGAGGTAAGTTTGACAATATATCTCCTGGTTGATATCAAAAAAGAAATATGACGATAGCAGGATTGAACTGCTTATGTTGGCTGGTTAAGAACGCTTACTAACCCCAACATTTTAATGGGGTGCTTAGCGTACAAAGAGACGGAAATTGAGCTCTTCAGTCAATGGCCATTCGTCGCCAAGCAGTAAGCAGCGTACAAGTGTACCAAGCAAACTTGAGGTCGTTCAGCTGTCGGACATCAAGAAGGAATATGCCTTAACTGAAGCGAAGCTGAAGCTCGTCAAAGAGATCCCAAGCGACGTGGTAACAGGTATAGCATTACTTCATTGGAATGTCTACGCCATATCTCTAATACTAGTACCATCCGTTTAGCATTCTGATATTGAAATATGACCTTGCTTATCTGCTTTCATCTCTTTAGCTGCCTTGACCATGTCCGCACGGGAAGCGCAAATCATGCTTGCTCGTTTGGGATATTATGACGATGCTGCGGCGTTGGGGCTACTTCACAATCTGGATTTGGACGTCGTATTTAATGTCCTTGTGGATAGATATTTAGCCGCCTTGGGACTTGAACAAGAGTACGTGAAAGTTTGGCCCGCATACTTTCCTCTTCTCTTTTAACCATATTCAGTTTGACTAACCCATCATATTCTTCATCTTGACGTATAGCGAACTTCTCGGAAAGGGCGGGTTACAGGTGGCGAACAGCGCCCACGTGGACAGGACGCGTTCTGCTGCTGCACTTCAGACCTTGCAATCGTACCTGGAGCGCCATGATGATGCTGCCTCGAACTACAAGTACAGGTTAGGCGTGGTGGAGAGAATTCTCACTCGGAACCCAGATTTCGACTTGCCACCCTGGCTGACGCTGCATTATCGGGTATGGGAGCTATTTCCATGCTTTCCGTTTGAGCCGTTGTATGAATCGGGATAAGATTTGACTTAATAATTTATTGTCTCTTCAACTTAATACAACTCCTAGGCCCATAACCCTGAGGACTTGATTCGCCTCTATTTAAGATTCGGTGCACTGGAGGCTGCAGCAAAGTTTGCATCAGTCGCTATTGATGCTGTAGGGACCCCTTTTTTTTATGAAGCTAACCGGATTCTGAAAATGATAATGCATGACATACTTTATTGACCGTCTTCGTGCTTTCTTTCTTTATGGATCAATTTATAGGCGATGAAAAAGGACGAGCTGGTTCCAAGGCACTCAAATGCACGTTGGTTGCCATACTCATTGCTGGATGGGATCTTTGAGAGTTTGAAGGAGCAGATCAATGAAACGCAGGAGCGAGTCGCGAAGAAATCTAGCCCGACACAGGATGCCAAATTGAAGAGGCGACTAATGGATTTGAAGGACATCAAGTCGAAATTAGATGAGGATGTGCGGCAATATTTGGAGAATGTGGAGCGTGAATCGATCTTTTGAGGGATCTCTGATGTCTAGCCATGAAATTAGCGGGATGTATGTCGGTAGAATTGTGGCAGCAGTAAAGAGACTCCTGACTGTTCACTCTGTTCATTCGTAAATGCTTTTTGAGCAATTCTTTGCTGCGATGTGCTGAAAGGTGATTAATGAGAAGGAGAAACTGTCGGGCGTAACTTCTCTGTACTTTTCTCCTGGTCTTGTATCCAAACCAGAGCTCTTAGAATTCCTTCGATCTTCAGCAAATATCGTGCTATGCTTGCCTCGGTGGACTATTCGACTAAAAAAATGTTCTGGTCAAGGTCTGCAGTATTTATCGCTTGCAAAGTTGATGGTATGCCATATCAAATATGTAGAGTCGACTACCCAGAGCTTGCACATTCAAAAGCATGCCACTGTATTCCTGTCTGTGCAACCACTACACTTAATCTGTCATCAGGAAGGCATAGATGAAAGGCTTAACCAAACTCAATTGCTACTCCACGCTCATGACCTTGCGCCCGAGCCAGACCTGTCGCAGCTTTTTGAACTTCAACAAATGCCGTGCTACTCTCTCAGCAATCGATTGGTCGTTTTCCAAACCCGTGCTATTGTGTCCTGAAGACTCTTCGCTCTGTGTTCTTCCATCTACCCAAAGCTGGATCGCCCGATCAATCGTTTCTTTCGTATTAAGCCCACGAATCCTGATACACAGTACCACTAGGTCCATGCAGCCCCAGTTCGCATTTTCAACCTCGCCGATATCCATCTCATGCTCCGGAAAGGTGAATGTATCCAACTGAGTGCAGAATCGCGGTAGCATTTGAAAGACCCAGCTGGGACCCTGGAACTGAGCCTTCAGTTGTGGAACTTCGTCGGAGCTGTAAAAAGTGTTGCTGGGAGCATAAGCTCTAAGCTCTTTCAGGGAGCTTTGGTGGGAGAGAATCGCCATGATCACCTCCATGGAGAGTGTGCTGTACAAGAAGCAGACACTCGTTAGTGCAGTGAAGGCTTGACTTAACAGATCCCTTGTAGTGTTGCTCGGGGTCTCGATATACAGAGTTTTCAGTAGAGGACAGTACTGGTTAACTCCGTTCTTGATGGCCTCCATGGAAACGGCGGCTGGTGGTGCTGTGTCCCGTATTTTCCACGAAGTGAGTTTCGGGAAGTGGATAAGGAGAGGTGCTGCGTCATGAGAGTTGGAGCACATATTGAAAACTTGTGTGATCGAGGCAGTAAGGATAGATAAGCTTGGATGTTGGAAAGTTTCGTAAGTGTGGCGACTATGAGTGACCAACTGACGAATATCCAGCAGGTCGAGGGCGGGGCATTGTTGCAGTAGCCTGGAAAATGCATTTCGCGTCATATATAGTCCCCAGAGCTTGAGAATGGACAATCTCGATGTCGCCTTGGTCGCAGGATATGGAGATAGCGCGTTAATCTGCATCAACAGCTTTGGGGTCACTGAAGACAAGATATCCAGGTGTTCGAGTGAAGCGATGTTTCGCTGTATGATTTCGTAGCAGTACGCCTGGAATTCCACCATGTTATGCATGGCGGTAGCGAGGTGCCTCAACTTTGATGCCTGGGACCAGAGAATGACATCCAAATGCCACTGCTCATTCAGGTTCTCGACGACGCGGATATGGTGTCCATACTTTGCAAAAACATCCTGATCAAGGTACTGCAGCTTTATATCGCAGCTGAAGTCGATAGTGTGCCATATGGGGTACGCAAAGTCCTCTATCCAGTCCTTGCGCACTTGCACGCAGGTGATGGCATCCTTGACGGTGACATATCTTGCGATCTGAGCCCGTAGTTCTGGAATATGAAGCGGCGTTTTCGACATAGCGAGGGGTGGATAGGTGGAGGTATGGACAGGCAAGAAAATGAGAAAGTAGATAGGTGGGTAGTTGGAACGGAAAGGGGATGGAGCAAAGAGAAGGTGGATTGGGACTATTTGCCACTCGACTCGCTCAACGAGCGATTGCGTGAGAATCAACCAGAGATATCAGCGGTTTTGGTAAGACGCTGTCAATTATGACTATTTTGTTAAGCAAAACTCCTGTAGTTGACAGCGTCTCACCAAAAAAAACAATCCGCTGATATCTCTGGAATCAACTATACAAAAAATTGCTTTCAGTGCTATGGTTCTCGGTAGGTTATAGGCTATCTTCTGACTTCATGTTATTATGTTATTTGACAGATGTACTTTGATCCTTCGATGTCGGCTCTTCCTATCATACTGAAGCGGAATTCAGTAACTTCTTGCCATTGAATTAAGGGGATGGTGTTATGGCGTCTTATTGGTCGGATCTCACCACTTCTTCTCTAACACTTCAACTGCACAAGGCAACTGCACACTTCAATCTTACATACTTATTTAGCAAAGGTTACTACTCGTCTATTCATCCTGACCGGCCACAGATGGTGGTTGGCGCTGACTCTTCGGTGCCGGTCCGCGCCCCTTCCCGCACCCACTGGCCTTTGATGGCTGCGACTGGCTTCTGGCGACTCTTCTCAATTTTTTGTTTCCCTCACAGTTTCCATAGTCGGTACCTGATTGCGTATCCTCACCCTCCGTCCCCTCCTGCGATAGCTCTCCTTCAGCTGCGTTCATAATACCAATATACGGCGGATCCCGAGGATGGTCTGCATCGGCGCACAGATCTTCATTATTTTTTCTTTCTCCAGCTCTGCCATTTTCAATAAATAAGGATCCAGCTCGGGCGTCACTTCAACGTCGGCATTATTTCTGCTGCTGCTTTTGAGTCTGTGGCTGTGGTGACTGATCATGTCTTTACTGCTGCTGCTGTTGTTGACAATGTCTCTGTTAACATTGTAATTGTTGTTTAGCCGTTGCTGTTGTTGTAGTTGTTGTTGTAGCTAGCGCTTCTGTTGTTGGTGTTTTCCTATCTCTATTGATTTCATTCTCCCATGCATCAAGTCCGAGTTTGTCCACAACAATGCAGTACTTCAAAGACATCGAACTGCTTGTACAATACAATCAATTTTCAGTGTTACTAACTTGGCGTCATACATGCTCCTAATGCTGTTGTTCAGGCTTGTAGAGGGGCTCGCATTTGGGATCATGGCAGGAGTGGGTATCGACTATTTTTTTTTAAAAAAAAAAAAAAAAAAAAAAAAAAAAAAGCGTATATGTTCAGTCAGATTATCATCCAAATGAAAGAATCAGACAAGGCCTAATGTGATAAAACGAATGACAAGAACGAAAGGACCAAAGAAAAGCGTCAAGAAAAGCAAGAATACGAGAGAAAAGTAATGCAAACATAAATATGAAGATGAAGACAAGGGAATGTTTAAAGGAAGGTAAAAGAGAGGGACGCGCCACCCAAAAAAAACATTATACACAAACATGCAGAGCAAAATGCACTGACCACACAAGAGAAAAAGACAATTTTGGCAGACTGAAAGAGGCGGTTGAGATTGATGAAGGTAAACAAGCGATCAGAAAAAGAAGAATGGTACAAGAAAGAGGTAATGAGCGGAGGAGGGTGAAGACAACGGAAAAAGAGGGCAATGAATGAATGAATAAGAGTAAAAAAATATGTGTATGTGTCGAGAAATGAAAGATATGATGTTAATACACAGAATGAGGATGCAATTACAGTGCAGAGTGGAGTATTTGGGAGACTGTTGAGGCAGTTAGGCAACAACCTTTTTTTTTTTTGACGAGCACAACCTGAATAAAAAAACGTTCTTCCCTCCCGTCATTTTTCTTCCCACTTATTTTTGAATCTGCACCTGAAATTTAACAAAACTACGGCACAGACTATGAGTATATGATTTACTTTAATCTACTGCAACACCATTAGAGGTCAGTGAGTAGGCCGAGAAAAACATTGATGGACTCGATGTACAGGAAATGGTTATGGTTAGGAGGTCAAAATCTGGCGATTTGGTAGATAATGTCGTAGAGATATGCTTGAAAGCTTGGTATGCCTTGCATGATCGTAGCAAGCTGCTTCAATTTAGAAGCCTTGGACCTGAGGATGGTATTCAGATGCGGTTGTTCCTTCAGATTCTTGACAATACGGATATGATGTCCATACTTCTCAGGAACATCCTGACCAAAATCCTGCAGCTTTGTATCGGTTGCAAAGTCAATGGTATCCCATATTGGATAGGTGAAGTCGACCATCCAGTCCTTGTAGACCTATGCGCATGCGATCGCATTCTTGACTGTAACGAATCGTGCGATCTATGTACGGAGCTCTGGTATTTGAAATGGGTTTCGGAGTGTGTTAGTCATAGAGGAGGGTATAAAAAATGGAGTGACGAAATTGCCAATTTGCGAGAACCGGGAGGGTTTATGTAGTATATCGCAAGCATATCCAAAAGCCGTTGGTACCATGCTCCAAATGAGACAAGGACAAAGAATGTCTGCAGATGTCCACAAGGGTATCGATCCAGGCTTGTGTGGTTGATGAGCGTCCTTTTTCCCCGTCATTGTTGCTACCACTGTTGCCTTGTATTCAAGGCGTATATACCACATTCAGTTGTCGTCCCTTTTCCGAAAGTATAACAAGCATAAGTAATTTTTATTGAATACTACAACCAAAAACCTGAGAAAAGATATGTCGGCGCCACTACTCTGCAATGTCCGGACCCTGTAACCAAGCCAGACTCTGTGCAGCTTTTTGTATCTCAGCAGATATTGCGCCACTTGCGCCTCGATCGAATTATCGTGTTGGAAAGCCGTGTCAATGTGCCCTGGCGATCTATTAGACTTGAGCGCTCTATCCTTCCACAGCTGAATCGTACGGTCGATCTTCTCTTCGGTATCAAGACTATGAATCCTGATGTGAAGTGTTTCCAAATCTGCACATGCCCACTTTTCTCCGATATCCATCTTAGGAAACGAAGACACGAGTGTCCTCAATCGACTGGTGAGGCCTTGAAATAAAAGTAGAGGCCCTTGGACTGATTATAAGGCTATCTGCTGCCATTGTCAGCTGTGCAGTCCCTATATTAATAATGGAGACGCGACGAGCTGTTTGCAGCCACTATTGTTGCTGCTTTTGGGTCTAGCTTTGAGATCTTGCGCACGAACCAAGTGTCCTTCAAAATATTTGTGTATGTAGACTAATTCTCAATGACATCCTATGGTTCGTGCTCAATATTCAATCGAAATCCTCGATGGTCGAACCAGACAGTTGTTGGACTCATGAGTCGCACACTTCATGATAGATCACGAAGGAGGGCTTGGAATTTTAGGGCAGCAAACACAATCATTCACCCACAACTCACTAACCGCAAGTTCACTCCCTTTGCCACCATTTTTGCCCTATCTATCATCCCTCTCATCAACCTTCTCTCGCATCACTCTCCTTTCGCGTACCCTCTTCCTCATACAATCTGCTCCCTTTGCCATGGTCAACCTCAAACTATCTTGTCTTGTTGGTTGGGAGTCGACCTCAAGGGCGTTCCTAATCTCTGCCTCTTCCACACTCACCATTACTGACCTCAAAGAGCTCATCAAGGCAGAGAAGGTCCCCGAATTCGACGAAATTGCCGCTGAGAACCTCATTCTATGGCGCATCTTAGTACCAGTCATTGCTACCAGGGGACACGACTCAGTCAAACTCGACGCTCTGGATGATAAGGAAGAGCTCCCTCCTTCCGATGACCTCCTAGATTTTTTCCCAGACACACCAGCCAAGAAGGCAATTCACATCATTGTTGAACTGCCTCCACTCGGTATGAGTTCAGGCACTACGAATGAGCTAATTTCACGTCCATACACTCTTCTAAACTGCCTTCCTTTTTTTTTCTTTTTTTTCTAGGTGTTGTGTGTGTGCTTGTTGTGGCATAGGTTCTTCAGTATCCGCAGCGCTGTCCTTGCCACTCAAAAGAGGTCGCGAACAAGAGCTCGAGGATCCACAAAAGCTTCCAAAGACTGATGACTGGGTGAAGTATAACGCCAAAGACAGAGCCGTGGATTTACCGCCCTTGCTGGTCAGCATGCTCAATGCTGGAGAGTTCACACCTGAACCGCGCGACGAGTTCAAGCAGCAGTTGGACGATATGCAAGTCGGCCAGCAAATTATACTACCATCGATCGGTCAACGTCCCAAGCATTATGGACAGGGCTACCAGAAACTGTCGTTTTTTATCACCGAGCAGATGGTGGAGATGTGGCGCCTGCTTTCCAGCAACAACGATCGGCCGATCAGAAGGATCCTGTCGGGCCCAGTGGGTGTAGGAAAATCATACCTTGCGCTCTTTCTTGCTACTAAAGCATATGCAGAGGCATGGCCATTACTTTACTTTTCAGATGCGAAAAAACTGGCCTTATCCGACGGTTATGATGTAGCACAAGAGATCTACGAACGGTTCCTAGCCCTGAACAAGGACATTTTGACTGTCACTGACTCCCAAGAATCGACACACGGGCACCCAACTGGAAGTACAGTAGTCATTCATGCAGCCACTAGCATCCTAGGCAGGCTACTCCAACAACGGGAAACTAAAACTCTCTTGGTCGTCGACGGACATGGCGCACTCTTCGAACAGGACCCACCAGTGCCCAAAAAATACATGATTTTCAACCCGCTGATGCAACTTGCCGCATGGAGAGAAAACAGCAGAGGGGCGCGAGTGGTCATGGCGGGCACGGCCGAAAAATTTGAGAGACATTGCATCAAAAATGACATGTGGAATTGGCTGGAATATGTCACTCCTCTGTCTGATACTATCTTCGACAAGTTGTTGGATATGGACGCCATACTATCAAGAGCCGCGATCAGGGAGCAAGTGAAGAAGACCACAAACCGCGCTCCACGTGAACTAGTCAGCATGGCAGCGTTTATCTGTCAAAACGTAGCTACAACTGGACAACAATCAGCTACAATCGATCCAAACACCTACGCCGATCAAGTTGTCTTGTCCCGAATGAGGCAGTTCGCAGAACAGCGGCACCGTGCATTTTATCTGGATGCATATTTCCATTTTAGAAGTCTAGGTGACATTCAACGACATTCTCATCGGCATGCTCTTGCGGCTATACTTCTTCCTCGAAAAGAAGGCGAATTCGATTTCGAGTATAGGGGATTCGACTATCAATTCATGGACCTCGGGCTGGTCACAGGGTCAGAGTCGGGGTTTGTACAGAATACCGCGCCCTATGTCCAGCTGCCAAAGATGCTCTCTTTGCTCTGTACAAGTCTATGCCGCTTCCTCGAGATACAATGACGGCTATTACAGGTGGTCATAAGGACGAAATTGGTCAAGCTTCTGGAAGATCTTCCTTCTAACGTCAGTTAGAAAGTTGCTGCTCGATGTTTCGGAGGTTCTGCTGAATACTGAAGTTTTATTAATAACAACCATGTAAAGGCTTCGTTAGTGGTATGTAGTGGTCTCTGCACCTGAACGATTAAAGTGCCGGGGATGCACTGCGCTCCACCCGCTCAATCCTGGCTCCACCCAGTGTTGGAAACTTTGATCTACTCGGCGATGTTATAGGTCTGTTGGCTGAATTACTGGATCCTTTAATGTTACTGCTTCCACTCGTGCTGTCCCTCTGCCGGACACGGTTCACCATCACCTCCCGATACTTGTCGGTTTTTGTAAACTTTGGCACAGAGTCGGTGGACATTAGCCGGAAGATATGGTCATGAATGCGGTCAAAGAGCGAAATATGGATCAGCTCCTGATGTCCTGCGCCATATCTTTTCCTGCCGTTTTCGCCTTCCTGAACAGTGGAGGGTGATAAAGGCGACTCAGGCGAATCTGGCAATGTCCCGAAGCCACTGTCACACTCATTTGTCGACGAAGAAGAGGGGCTCGATGAAGGAAGAGGTGCCTCCATGTTCCGCACGACAGCCTGCATATATGCTGTTATGTCTTGACGCATCTGATGTGGAAGGTTCAGTTCTCGTGGGGCGCCAGAAACCAAATAGGTTTCATGAATAGCGAATGCCTGTGTGCAAATCTGCTTCTCGAGTTCACGCAACGTGGCTGGCTGCGGCGCATTCATGGCCAATCCGCCTCCAGGGCTCAGTCCCATCCCTGATGCTGCTCTTAAAGGATCCTTTCCTGACACTGTTTGGTTATAAGCCCTGGTAGAGTTGATAAGTGTGTTGAATTTGGCCCTGTAGTCAAGCACCTCAAGATAAAATGCCAGATTCTCCTCGCAAATGTTCTGTTTCAAAAAACTCTTGAACATCTCCCGGAGTGTGGAGTTGGATAATATCAGGTTTAGCCTGGTGGTGTTGGACGTCGTTGGCTGTGCTGAAAAACCAATGGTAGAGATGGGACCCCCACTGCTGGTGCCGGGTTCACGTTGCCCAACAGACTCCTTGCCAGAGGACGAAGGCGCATATGAGGATAAGGCGCCGGATTCGGAGAGAATCTGAAAAGCTGGGTCGTCAAGAATTTGAGATAGTCGGTGAACTGAGCTGCTATTGCTTGTGGCATCCTCTTTGCGCTGCGTTGAACCGCTTAGAGTTGATTCATCTGCTGAGCGACGTTTTTCACGTCCTACGGAGATGGGTAGACGTGAAACCGTATTGGATGTGAGCTTGAACTGATTCAATAGTAGTAGCTCAGAGTTGGTTCGATCTGCTTTGGACCCCAATGGTGTCCTTTCTATTATTATTATTATGTTGACGGAAGCAGCGAGGTTCATGTTAGGAAACTGCATTTCGGAGACTTGTTCCATGACAAAGGATCGACAGCAGCATATATTCAGGTCTGTTACTCCATTACCATCCATCCAGTCAGTGCTGACACTGCTTCCACGGCTGCGTACAGGGTTCTCCCATCCGAGAACAGCTCGGCCTAGTTCTGTAAAATGATACAAAGCCGAGTTCCCCGTCTTGAATAGCGTTGGTCCGTTCCGGTTGTCCTCGCCGACTTGTCCGATGTATCGTGCGCTGACCATCTCCTGTGCAATGCATATGGCCTCCTCCTTGCTGATGACAGTGGTATTGTCCAACAACCACTCGATAGCTGCTTTCCCATAAAACGTATGCTTGTACATATCATAGTTGTGTTGCTGATCTTTGACTTTAATTCCGTTGCTGCGGTCAACGTTAGCCTGGATGCGATCTCTACCAGGACTGGAGGTCAGTGGCGATGAATCGCCAGCTGAATCTGATGCTCGTGCCATGACATTTGGCCGCGAGCCCGCAAAATGCTTAAATATAGCGTCAATGGCCTTTCGGTTCAACACGACCGCATCCTCGTCTTCAGCACGCTCCAGAAATAGTATTTGCGGCGTCGCGTTTGCTGTGATATGGCGAGTCTCCTCAACAGAGAGTGAATTGCGGCGGACGAATCTCTGGACAATATGTGCCCCCTTGCCCGTCACTTGGTAGACCCCCTTATTCTGAAAATCGCGTTTGCTAGGATCAGATGCGCTTTCGAACAGCCTGGCGTCCATGAATGTCTGGCATAGGTTCTTGGCCATGTCGCGCGATAATGAGAACCGAGTGGTTACGACCCGCGTAATGATGCGTGTGGGATCCTTGGGATCCGTGTCATGGTTTGCCTGAATAAATTGGAGCCCTCCTAGATTGGAGATTGCATCTTCGGCCGTAAAACTGTTGGGATAACTTTTAAGAAATATCTTGTGGTTCTCGATTGGCAGGGAGATCATCAGCGTTGAGAACAGTTCAAAGATGTTCTACGCTCATACCAACACGTCAGGGACACAATAGATAAAAAAAGACAAATGTTAGTAAAGACCCCATGTTTGAGTGTACTATGTATAAATGTAGTTGAGTCTGGCAAAAAATCCAGCCATAGTATTATTTCAAGTCATTGGATGTTCCATCGCCATTTATACTACTGCTTTCCTGCACTTTCATGCGGGTGACCGTTACAGTATTCGCTCGGGAATGTGCCACCGAGGCATGGATTGACGCCAGACATTCTCGTGCTGACATCTTAAGGAAAATACTGTAGCTAATATCACCTTGCATTGAGAAACCCCTTTAATTCCTGATCATGCGACTGCTGCCAATGCTGGAGCCAACGTGAAGCGGAAGCAGTATGCGTTGGTCCGTAATGGTGCATGAAATAACTCACCTTTGCAAACGCGCGGCCTGACGTTGTAGTCTTCATTCTGAGGGTAGGCACGGCGAAAATGACAAACGAAATACTGGGTAAGTACTGGTACCAAACGGCTGTGACGAAGGGCCTTCTAATTCACTTCTTTATGTTTTCGAACACTCGGAGGGCTTTAAAGATGGGAACGAAATCTTTGATGAGAATGAGGATTCGTTCGCTTCAGCGTGGGGTCGTATTGAGACAGTACTGAAGAAGAGGTGAAGGACACCAAATATTCGATATCTATAGCGATAGCAACATGAGAGGAATATTATGTTGGTTAGCCCATAGCCGTGTCCCTTGAGCATCATTACACGATTCAGGAGTCTGGGTCTACGACATCGCCTTAGTCAGCGGTCGTTACCCTCTCCGTTACTTTCATAAAGAGCGCGGTGGAGCATGCCATCAAGGGCTTCTCGGGATTTTGGAATAAAATTGCTTAGGACAAGTACATGCAGCCGCGATAAATAGGGAAGCCATTTGAGGCCCTTGTGGGGAAGAGAAAGGTAGGGACAGTTTAGGGTGTCGAGCATGTATGACTATTTCCGGGCAGCGAAGAAAAGGAGACAGCTCAAAGAAATAGGGACGACACAAACGGAACGACAAGGCAATTGAGGAGACGACGGGCGCAAGTAAAAATCGTGATGATAAAAGCGGCAGAATACACACCACACACACGTACAAATAAAAAAAGGCGCGAAACAACAAAAGTAGGAAGGAATGGGAATCGGCTTTGCTCCATACAGCGGCGTATGAACGATAAGGACAAGAACGAGAAGGAGGAGGAATAGTTCGTGCGAAAAAGGGCAACGGACGCCAAGTTCTCGGCTTTACCATGATCCTCATATCTGTGGAACAATAATACGCATGCGCCTAGCAGTGTTTCTTCGTAAACGTATTCTTTCACTCTCCACACTCTTTAATTGAATAAACGCGTTTAATTGCACACTATTTTTTTTAGCTTTCTTCATACTCATGCAAACTCAATCGCTGGTGTGAGCAAGAGATTTGATTTAGAGACACTCTACCAGAATGAATGCAAGACGAGGCCGTGTGAACAGTGTTGAGTGAGGTGAATGAAGTAAGGCTGTGAGGTTGTGCTTGAGTGTTAGGAGCGCACTAGACTGAAGGTTGCTCTAGGACCTCGGAGCTGTTTGTTTGTGTTTGTACGAATGTGATTTAAGAGGGCGGAATGCAGTAGAGAGACGAGAACGAGCATAAGGGAAGGATCAAAGAGAAAGGAAACAAAAGAAAAAGACGAGGAGGGAGAGAAAGAGACGAGGGAAGAGAAGGGGAAAGAGGGGTGCGACGGCGAGTAGCACAAAGCACAACACACACAGGCATCTACCGCTTTATTGACCCGTAAACTCATAAACATAAAGTTCATTCGCATGGGAAGACATACCACCACCGCAAGAAATGGATAATCTGACGGTCAAGGCAGACGAAGGAACGAGGAATAGAGCAGATTACTGCGACGCAGCACGGTACACTAGCAGAGAGAACTAGATTAACCCCTGAGTTTTTTTTATGCACTTTTACGCAGCCCCCCTAAGAATCGAGCACCCCTCTAACGCCCCTCGTTAGGTTATACGTTGCATGGAATCAGGCAAAAGGGAGGAGGATGAAATGGAATGTCCTATCCTACTTGGAGCGGACGCAGTTGGCTACAGTCGCGTCGCGAGACGCGTTCTGGCACATGGCGCACTTTTTTCGTGGCTTCTAGTCACGTGATAATCCTGCCTGCCAGCCAGGCTGATCAAAAAGTGTCTCCATCATCTCTTCTTCTCCACCTCTTCATCTCAACATTCCTTGGACGCGATACTCGGCCTCAGTATCGACACACGCACAAGCGCACGTACACGCATCACAATCATTAGTGTCAGGACTCGAGATATAACCGCAATACCACATCTCGGGAATGGCCCCATCAACACCAAGGGCATTTCACAGAGTCGCGTACTGGGCCGTGACCCTTTGCGCTATTGTGCTAGCTCTCCTTGTCAGCACTACTGTCGCACTCGATGAGGCTCAAGCGGGTATTATTGACTGGTATGTGCAAAAAATCCCAAAGGCATGGGTATTTACAGGTTCCGCAAGTCATATGTGGCCTTTGAAGACATAGCTGGAATAACTATGAACCGCTCCCTCTTTTCCTAATCGAACTGTTGCTCCATCTTTGAATCGAATTCAGGCACCACAAATGGATCGGCACGCCCCATATGTCTGCTACACCACGCACTGTCCGCGGATCGAATGCAATCTTTGTTGCAACTGATAAAAATACCATCGCTTCAATTAAAGCAAAGTCCGGCGAACTCGGTATGGACCTGGAGATCTTTGACGGAGGGCCCAAACGTTCGACGTATTGTGTTGCTGGCTTAAGCAACGCTGTCAAGTGTTCTGATCCTGATTTCTACCTACTTTAATTAAATCATAGTATGGCGCCAGATTCTTCGCGAGGATGAACCTATTCACGCCCTGCGCTCCATCTCTGGACGTAAGTGCATTCATGAATGGTAGTTGTGTTTTTGGATACTCCATGCTACTGGACACCGATAGCTTACAATATACTGAAAATCGAATTATCACCACCCTTTACCAATTAGATCTTCTGACTCTTTCCGGCTCACACGAGTTTCACAGCCGACTTCTAGATGCAAAGACTGGACAGGTTCTTTGGGACTTTTCGCCTCGCGGTGAAGGCGCCATCCCCGGGCTAGAATTTGGCCAGGCTGCTACTGTCACCTCGGAGGATTCGAATTTAATCATTTTGAACAGCGGTGCCCATGTCCGCAAAGTTTTCAGCAAGGCAGGGACCGAGGCCTGGCATTGGAAAGCGAACGAGGGCTCTGCGACGACCTACTTTTCGGTTCTGGAGGCCAAGGGCTTCGGCGACCACACCGACGTTGTCTACGTACTTGGACTGCAACGTGAAGTTACCGCCTTTTCTCTCGAGGTTGTTGCTTTGGACTCAACCACTGGAAGCGTCATCAAGACATTCAATATCAAATCCAAGATCGAGGTCTTCGAAGACACGCTGATTTTAGGAGGCGGGTCGACAGGAAAGAGTGGATATGTTGCCTGGTTGGAGCAGGATCATCTGAAGGTTCTGACTCTCGGAACGAACAGGGTCACGCAGACGGCATTGAAGAGTATTATCGCCGAAACCCCAAGCTTCGAGGAGTTGGTCGCCGCGCTGGAGTTCGTAGACCTGAGGCTGCCCGAGGGTCATACCGAGTTCCTGCTGAGCGGAACGGTTGGCGAATACAACGACGCGAAGAGCTCAGTTCTTTTTGTAATTGACGAAAAGACCGGAAAGGCTGAGATCGTTCATGATTTTGGCGAGCGAACAGGATTCTCGGTCTACTCCGCCACAACAAAACCTGCGACGAATGAGGTCGTGATTGTGAGGGCTTTCCGCCAGGATCACGAGACTGGAGCTTTGGAACTCTTCGATGTCAGCGAGCGCAAGGTCATCATCGAGCATGCCCTCCCTCTGGATTTCGACAAATATTCCCACTTCACATTTGCATCGCTAGAACTGTACTCCAAGGGCCAAGGCGTTCAGACCCGCGTCTACTTCTCTACCATAGATGGATCTTTCCACGTTTATTCGGATGTTGAGTCTGAGCAGTGGTACCGTGAGGAATCATTGGCATACGTCAAAGACGTCGAATTTGTCGACTTGCCTGAACGCAAACTTTGGACCCAGGATGTTGATGAATCGGGACACGTCAGGGCAGCCAGGAATCTGACGATTATCGAGCGCTACATTGAACGCCTGTCATCACACATCTTGCAGCTGAAGAGTCTGCCTGCCTTCATCGTCTCGTATGCAAACCCCTCGTCTTTATTCAATAAGGCTCCCGTCGCTACCGAGTACTCGGAAGTTCAGATCGGTGTTCCCAACAATACCACTCAACCTCTGTACCGTGATCAGTTCGGTCTCCGCAAGATCTTGGTTCTCAGCACGTATAAGGGTAAAGTTGTCGCGGTCGATTCTGGAGACAAAGGTCAGATTATCTGGAGCCGATACTTCCCTTGGGGTCACGACATCAAGAACACTGTGGTGGTCCGCCACGCAAACGTACGACTTCCTCCTATTCTTGCCATCATTGCCGAGACTGTCGACGGCGGTGGAAACAAGGTTCTTCGACTATATCGTCTTAATGCCCTGACTGGCGAGGATTATGAATCCGGCAGCTTTTACTTCCCAGCCTCAGCTTGGATCCCGGCCGGATACCTCAGTGCTTTCAAGTTGCCGCTGGAAGACCCAGAGGAGAAGACGCAGGTCCTGTGCATTGTTGATGATCGCATGCATATCACCACCTTCCCTAGCACGGAGGTCGTTCAGGAGGCCTTCAAGGCACTTTCAGACGATTTTTATTTCATGTTGAAGAATAGTGTCGGCGCCAAGGAACTCAAGGGATTTAAGGCCATTGTTTCTTCAGACACAGACCGCATGGATGTGGAACCCACCTGGACGATCCCCTTCCCTGAAGGCGAAGTGATTGCTACGTTTGCAGAGAGACCATCGTACGAGGTCATGGCATCATTGGGTCGTGTGCTTGGTGACCGCGGAGTGCTCTACAAGTACCAGAATCCCAACTATGCAACCGTCATTACAGTCAACGAAAAGCCTAAGCACGGACTTGCCCCTTACCTAACCGTATACCTGATTGACATCGCCAAGGGCACCATTCTGTACCAGGCGACGCACGAGAACGTGGGCCTGCACCAGCCTATCCTTGCAACGCAGTACGAGAACAATGTAGTGTTCACCTTCTGGTTCGAGGGCGAAACTTCGATCTCTCCCAAAGGATATCAGGTTGTAGCTCTCGAATTGTATGAGAGCAAGAACCGCAACCAGCGCACCAAGAGGTGAGACTGATAGGCTATCGCCGGTTTGGTGACCATTATATGGATCTTTACTCTAACACAACTCAATATCTTTAATTCTCTCATAGCGAAACGTTCTCGTCTTTCGCGAGCGAGCGTCCTGACGTCTTGGCACAGTCTTTCCCCTTCCCACACTCTCCCACCGCCATTGGGGTCACATCGACCAAGGCTGGCATTTCCGCCAAGGACATCCTCTTTGGTTTGTCTCGTCAGTCGGTCATGGCTCTCAACAAGCGTTTCCTCGACCCTCGTCGTCCCACAGGCGCGCCGAGCGCTATGGACAAGGAAGAGATGTTGATGCCGTACTCGGCCATTACGGATGATCCACGACTGTTCCTGTCGTATAATCTTGAGGTCGTCGGCGTTAGAAGTATTGCGACTGCGCCCACATTGTTGGAATCGACTACGGTGGTGGTCGCATACGGTCAGGATGTGTTTGTTACTCGCCATGCGCCATCAAAGACATTTGATATCTTGAATGAGGATTTCTCAAAGTCGCAGCTGATGTTAACGATTGCTTTGTTGGTCGTGACGCTGTTCTTCACCGCTCCCATGGTAAGTCGCAACTCTTACTTGATGCATATCTGTCAAATGGGACGCCATGCACCTATTTCTTGTATTAACACTGCTTAACACATTTCTCTTTTTTTCTGTAGATGCGTAAGAAGATGCTCAAGGAGCAATGGTATTAGGGAATGTTTCTGAATGCAAAAGATATGAGCTGAAAAAATATAGATTCTTTCAAAGTAAAGCTGCGATTTAAACAAGAATATTCTCATTCTTGAAGCCCATTGAACCCTCAACGCCTGCCTTGACTCTACCATCATACTTGGACCCCTATTAATCCCAGTACGCGTAACTGGCGCCTCATGTCGTCTGGTATCTCGGCGCGTAATACGAGCGACCCATCATCCAACACTTTGTACCTTTTCTCATCCTCAGTTACCCTCGAGACCTCTTCTGGACCATTTTTGAACCAATCCTGCGATAGAGCACCAGGAAAGAGAAGAAACAAAGTCAACGCTTCGTCATCTCTCCTGCGATTTTTGTATGTGCATTACTGCTATAACATAGTCTACTCATACACAATACCTTCAAAATAAGCTCTGCCATGTGCAGATATATCCGTATCGGCCCCTTCTTCCTGTCCTGGCTATCCCCCTCGGCTAAATACTTTGAGTCTCCGAGAATAGGTGCTAAGGGTTGGGAGCGGAACCAAGGACATTTTTACGTGTATGAGTAACAAGGTACTATACAGAATCCTTTACATTGACCTTGGTCTCAGGATAGTCGGATCTCCCTTACCATTCAGGAGTTGCGCGCAGTGAACCCGTAGTTGGTGCTTACGACCTGTCCGTGGGTAAAGATGAAGCAATGCCCAATGCATCTACGCGTTCAGACAGAGTAAAAATATTTGTTTAGGATGAATTGCAATTTTGCTGTGTATGGATCAGCCCAATGTCGAACTACTTACATCTTTCTGGTGACTCTGGCTTACTATCCGGATATCGGTAGTCGAGGCCCAAGTCGTATTCATGGCGGAATCTCGTCGATGTTCTGTTGGTTCTCTTTGCAACATTTGGATGCTCTGCCTCTTTCCCTGCGTTACCGCGATCATGCTGCCTCTCAGAGTCGTCAAAGCACCTTCTGCCTTGAGTTCAATCTGGGATTCTGGATCCAGCAATGGGCCCTTGGATCCAACGATTGCGAGATACTAGTTGAGATTGTGGGATATATCATTATTACCCTATACTGATGCGCATTGCCTCTGTCCGGGATTAATACAAAAGTACAAACAAAGATGACTATTGTACCTTCTTCTGAATTCTGTTAGAAGTCATATTGGTGTCGCATGTCGAGGCTGTTCCAGTCGTGCTTTCATGGAAACGACCGGTCAGGTCTTGAGCCGCTTTACGAGTTCTAGCTAAGATTAGCAACCCTGAGGTGGTCCCGTCCAATCGATGCACAATCCTCGGCTTCTCTGGATAATCGTCTTGTAAAACTAAAAAGAAGAAAACCCCCCAATATTTGTTTCAGGAACTATTACACTCCTTATTATCGAGCTTCTTGCAATCAAAGACAGAAAGAACTGCTTTACTTGACAAGGAACCGTCGATGGAGCTCTCGATGCCTGTTCCACCCTGGACCACGATACCCGCAGGCTTGTCCAGGACAACGATTCGCTCATCCTTGTATACGACCCAATCCTGCAGCGGCAGTTCTACTCTCCTTCGTCCCTTCATTTGATCTACAGCACCACCTCTTGAAGAATCTGGTGCTGCAGACCTCGAAATGATCCCTACAGACGGGGGTTCAGTATGCTCCCAAAGTGCTCGGACACGCCAAGTTTGTCCTGCCTGAGTCCTCGTCGTTCCTGTGATCATTGTCACCGCCCCAGCCGTGGTGTTCGTGTCTTCGACCCCATCCTGGGCTCTCTTGTCTTGAGGCCCTGCTCCTTGAGAACGGAGTAACTTGATTTGCCGTTTCCGCAGCCATTTATTAACCAAAGAATTGTTCACTGTAGCAAATTCACTTTCCTGTCCAAGGCGGTGCTTCAGAAACCGATCCAAACGCATCCCAGACTCGTCCGGCGAGACGTAAAAGTCCTTGACCAGAAGGCTCCTAGGGCGGGTGCCGGTTGTGATCGCTACAGAGCCATTGACATGGGCGGCAGTAGCAGCGAAAGCAAAGATAGGAAGCGATTGACTGGCGTTGGCGCGTTGGTTGTAATAACGCAAGAGATTGCTGGCGTACGGCAAACGACTCCATATGATGCCTCTGGACACAAAGTGGATCTCTCGAGAAGGGAGAATCAAGGCCATCAGCATCAGGTAACCGATGTCGAAATGGAGTAATCGCTGGTCGTGATCAGATAACAAACCTCGTAGCCTACGAGGGCAAATGCAAAATTTTATTTGATAGACTTTGGGCGCTGTCGGCCGGTGCTGTCAACCGGTACATGACTGTAGCCGTTTCTTTCGACTCTTTTTACGCGCCATATTGCCTCCAATAGCACAGCCAATGAACTCGTATCTGCTAGTTTATCTGCGTACTTGTTCAATCGCACCTTCGCTGGGCCGTTGACTATAGACATCCGCGGCTTTTTCACGGCATATTCCTTTTCCTGCACCTGGTCGAAACGTCGTTCGTGAATAATCAGGCCTACCATCGAGACAGTCTGCTGGCCAAGAGATGATTGCGCGTCTTGTGGAGGACACTCTGAACTGGACTTGCCAAAGGTCAGCGATAGGGATGGAGATCGCATGCGACTATCGATCTCAGACTGAAAAAATGATCGATTTCGGACGCGTCTGGCTTGTTGCACTTCCTGGAGGCGATTCCGCAGCCAATGCAGCCTTACATTCGCCTCTATCTACAGCATCCACATATTTACCGCCTGGAGACTGCTCTCCTCTAGTTCAGAGGAAGGCCCTTTACTATCGTAGTTACCGCTTCTGCTACTGACGGTCAAAGACTGCCCGCCTCGATTTCGCGCGACAAGAGAGTACGGCGCTGCTCGAGACGACCAGGTGCTGCCCCGAGTCTTGAGCGGCTGAATATCTTCAGTTCATGGCTCCCCGAGGGGAGGTGGTACCGCAGATAGTCGCTCTATCTCTATTGTCCCCGCCTGTACTCTCTCCTCTTTTTACCGACCACTAACTGGACGGTGGCAACATGGGAATCCACATTCCTGAATAGTGTGATTCGATATCCGAGAGCAAACGCGTATTGAAGGCTTTAGTGATTTTCAGGCAAGGGCACTCAAGGCTTTCAAGTTGAAAATGTAAGACGATGTGTCTACGGGCATCCGAACGGTTTCTGAGAGATGTTGTGCTTTGAGATCCATTGATCTAAAGTTAGAGATCGGCGGGAGTGAGACGACAGAGAAGGGTGATCCAGCTGCTGTTCGAGGTGCTGCGGGATTACCTTGACACCTTGGAGGAACTCGAACTGAGGTAAATGTACGAGGGATTGTGGTAAATACTTCGTCGTTGTCTCCTGGATTTGCCATAGGAGAACTGGAAAAGTTTGAGGAGCAAAGCAGATGCCTCGGCTAATGGCATCTCTATCGGTTTTACAAATGCAAGAAATACGAAATAAGCCGAATAAACGAACTTTTTTATTTGATGCCGATCATAGTGAGAGGTCAAACAACAAAATGATGTGCACTCAGCACACAAATGGAGCTAAAGACGGTTGCGAATCGCGAAGATGCATTTGTTCGACGACACTGACCGGCAGACATGTCTTGCTCTCTGTCCGTGCGTGCGGCCAGAACCAGGTTTTTGGCATGTGCGGCCATGCAGTGATGAACGGACAATGTCGCATGAAGGCGATACATCGGGGGCCTGTCTATTTATGTCAGAAATAAGTATATAACAGATCTATATCTACATCGACGATTATTACTTGGGGGTGGAGGGAGTGGAAAGAGCACCGATGCATGATTCCCATCAGAGCGAATGCACAATTCATGCACAAAGTATGAATGATGAGCATTAGCTTTGAGCACAGGTAATATTTTTACCGTTCGAGGCTATTATGGTTGAGGCTATTGTCTCTTTGTCGTCATGATCCATGCATAAAGAAAGCAGCGAAGCAAGACGTCCCTCTTTGTCTAAACCCTTCCCTAAGATAGCAGACAGCTTTTTTGTTCCGTCATTTGTACAACGGCCGATGAAGTGTGCTGTAATTGTCTGCAGGCTGTGTCGAGCGCATCGATGGACAGAGCAATGGGCGGCGTGAATGGATGCTCGATATGGATGGATGGCGAAGTAGCAAGGACGGCCAAACAAAGAAATGTCTACACGCGGGGGTGTGAATGTGCGTGTTAGTAGTCGTGTGATGTGAGGGGGGGAGGGAGAGCATCACAGCGACTCCATGGTAGACTATAGTGCGGGTAGTTCTATTTCTGCCATCGCTGCAATAGCCTTTCCGTTTATGTAAGGTGGCAAAAAAAGGGTACTTATTTTAAAAATAAGGTTTGATGGCGTTGGGGTTTATTTTCTAATTTTACTTTTCCTTGGCTCTTTTTCAAAGCAAATAATATAGTAAAGAGTAAATATATCCGTCCTTTTGCGTTACCTGTTTGGAGCGTTTTTCTTCCTTTGTCGTTCCCTCACCCCCATCCTCACTCTCCTTCGCTTTCGACTCTTTTTTTTCCTTTTTCTCGCTTACTTCCTACCTTGACCTTGTTCTGCACTGCTTCTGAAGCGACATTTTCACTCCCCTCTCTCGCCTTCACTCACTCCCGCTCTCTCACTCTCTCACTCACCCACTTTCGCACTCCATTCCCCTCCCTCTCTCCCCCCGCTTTCGTAATCATCGTTCTCGATCCGCACTCTCTCACACACTCTCTACAGCAACTCAACAACGACCTGAAATACAATACACACAGAGTGTGACAATGATAGATATGGCTTCATCGCTACACAATGCGCTGTGCTGCTGGGCATCTTCACAACAGAGTCCTGTTGATGACACACCATCCTCGCCAGACTCGCCCTGCAGTGCCCGCTCGGTGTCCGAGTGCACCTGTGCTCACACATTAGCCAGCAATAACAGCGAAAAGAACACAGTAACCACCTCCACCTCGACCACAGCACACAGAGACCCCACAGCATCAACACCATTCTCACTACCCACACGAGCACAGCCGCATGCTCACTGCTGCTACCACCATCGGCTTGCACTAGGCCAACGTAAGTCGACTTTGATCCGTATGGGATGTACACTCGAGGATGAGACAGACAGATAAACAAACTCCTAATTAATATGACACATCAGACATATTGCGCCGAGAGAAAGAGGGAAAGAGGGAAAGAGGGGCAGAAGGGTTTGAATGGAATGTGTGTATGTCTGGACGAGGGAGGGAGGGAGGGGCTAACAATAGCCACTGGAAACGACTGCCGCCACCTCGTTTCTTCCTGCCACCGGTCGAGATGAATACCACGGTGATACAAATACAATTTGATTTGTGGCACTAATCGATCCTCCTTCTCTCTTTTCTCCTGTGTCATCTCCTAATTATGCAACTCATTCCCATACACGTTTCCCGCCAAATAACGACATGAACTTTACCGAACCAATTCGCTGCCCGCCAAAAAACATCACTGGCAACACATTCCACCTGAAACTGTATCCGAACCTGCTGCAGTGTATGCTGCGAGGGACGAGAAGCATTACCGCAAGAAGCGCGCCCATGGGTCGACCTCCCCCGTCAGGACATGGCCTCGCTCCAGCCATGTCAAGGACGTGATTGCCAAGAAGACCTCGGCCCCATCGGCCCTCGATGTCGTCTCGCCCTACCACTCGACCACATTCATGCTCACCCCACCCTCAGCATACCTCTACAACGGCACATCCCAAATCCATAGCCAACAGCAGTACTACCAGCAGCACCAGCAGATGCACCACTCCTCGCCTGGCAAATCGCCCTCAAAGCGGTTTTCGCTGCAAAAGTACTACTATAGCAGGAACACCATGGTCGCCACATCGACCGCTGCCAATGGCAGGATGACTCCCTCACGGACGCCCTCGCCACCACCAGTATCATCATCTCGAATTACCGCGATATTCACGCCAACATCGCTCTCGCCCATCCCATCACCATCATCCGCCATATCATCGTCACCATCACGTTCCATCCTAGCATCCCCATCTCTGTCATCGCCCGCGCCCGCCTCCTTTACCTCTGCACCATCCGCCTCTATCACCACATTAGCCACGATCCCAGATGGAACCGCATCCACATCAGGATGTGAAGGAACAGCTCCAGCCACAGCGGCGATCCACATGCCAGCACAAGGACAATTGCACGGATCAAATGCAGGTTCATTATCGATCCTTGTCCAAAGTAGCAGCATTGGCGATACCGACAGCATTCGCCCCAACACTCACCGCAATACGGACCCTTTTGTGACGAATCTTTCATCTTCACCTGTACCTTCATTAGCACTCAACATCCCCTCAAAAACTCCCCATTTGTCGCCACCAATGCTTACCACCATCATGGCTACTCCCACCTCTCCCTCCCTACCATCCCTCCCACTGTCCTATTCACCACCATCGGACTCTTCTCTGACAGTTTCAGCGCAATTCTATCCTTCTCCTTCTTCACCTTGCTTTCCAATTTGCCACAACAGCATTACGATTACCTCACCAGAAAAATCGGACGCTACACCATACCCAGCCTCCAGTATCACATCTGCAAAGCTGGCTCATCTGCTTGAGCAATCCAAGCAAAGGACTGTCAGTGCTGGTTCACGACGACCCTTGATCTTGGATCTCAGGTCCCATCCGGATTTCTATCCCCTCTCTATCACGGACTCTATCAACATCAATCTCCCAACGCTACTCATGAGGCGATACCGACGTGGCGGCGCAGTGTCGTCGTTTGCACTCGAGTCTTTTATCACCATCCCTTCGGACGTGGATCTCTTCCATGAGATCCAAGACTCTTGGCGTACCGCTGCTACATCCTCAACGGAGCCTCACGATGTCATTGTGCTCGATCAGGATATGAAGGCTGGCGAGGAGGAGTACGGTCGGTCAGCGACGGCTGCATGGACCCTTTTGAATGTCTTAGAACGCGGTATTGGCAACGATTGCTTTAATAGTGCCCCCATCCGCCTGTGGTATCTCGAAGGCGGTTTTGACGCGTTTCAGCTATGGGACGTCAACGAAAAGCACCTGACTCGTTCTGGGGTCTCTACCTCGGCATCTATGTCGCCTGATATGCACGCCGTCGATCAGGATGTGGAGATGACTCTGGTGGTGCCTGAAGTCTTGTCTACTTCTGGACCGACAAAGACCAAGCCAGCCTTGGCTATCGACACATCAGTATCCTCTGCACCGAAACAGAGGGTCCGCAGAGAAAGTTTGTTCTCATTGAACACAAAGTCCCTGCAGCGACCTGCTGAAATTTCTCGTGCTCGTTCGCAGACGGTCAACCTGAAGCCGTTGGCGATTCCTTTTGTAAACAACTCAGCTTCTTCCACACAACAGCAGCAACAACAGGCATCTAGGGGAGGATGGCTCGCGGTTCCATCATCGATGGCCGCTCCGGCTCCCTCGCCAGTCATGTCCATGATCAGTAATCACTCGATGGAAATCTCGCACTCTGCTTCGACGGACCACAGTTCTAGCTGGTCGGCCGACTCGAGCTCTGTCAATGGTTCTGGCCATTTCCCACTGGCTGTTCCTAGCTCTCATTCAACAACGCTGAGCACGAAGCGCTCGATCTCGTCGCTGTTGACCCTCACCTCAATCCATGCTTCCTCCACTACTGCAAGTATCCGAGAGGAGGATGAAGACCGCTCCGAGTCCGGAAGTGGCTCGAGGACTCTCCACATCCCATATAGCAGCCATCAATGGGGCCATGATAGTCCCAAGGACCACTCGACGCGCTCCTGCACCGAGTCTCTCCAGTCGATGAATCAGGAATACTCTCACCACTCCAACATGCAGGACCAACACTCCATCAGTGACCGATCTGTTATTACCGAGGAGGATGAGAATTCTGACGATAACGAGCAAGAGATCTCATGCATCTTGCCCAACTTTTTGTACCTTGGCCCCGAGATCGTGAACGAGGCTCAGGTGAAGGAGCTCGACCTCTTGGGCGTGAAGCGCATCTTGAACATGGCCACGGAATGCGAGGATGCGCTGGTCTCGAACCGTCAGGGCATGGAATACCACAAGATCGGCGTCTATGATAATATCGATGCCGATGTTGGCGCAGGACTGTTGCGAGCCGTAGACATTATTGGTACGTATTTATCTCGATTTTTTTTTTTTTTTTTTGTTCATTACTCATGAGAAACTGCTCTCTGTGCACCTTTTGCTAACTCTGTCCGTCTTTCTTCATTTTCCATCTTTATAGCCGCTTCACCTGACGCTCCTATCTATGTTCACTGCAAGGCTGGCAAGTCCCGGTCGGTGACGGCGACGATCGCATACATGATCACAAAGATGCATTGGCCTTTGAACAAAGCGTATCAACATGTGTTGACGCATCGCCCATGCATGTGTCCCAACATTGGGTTCGTGACTGAGCTGATGCGTATTGAGGAACGAACGCTTGGAACCGACAAGGCTGCTGGGATTCAGGTTGCTCAAGTGATCGTCCATTAATGGGGCTTTTCCAGTACCATGATACCACTATTGGCCATCTTGATGAAAAAAATTCACTTGGATACGATATGAAGTCGATAATGACAACTGATACGAACACGACTACGACATGAAATGACTCGACTTTACACGACATGACCGAAACGACTAATAATACCCACCGAAACGATTTGTACGATATTAAGGACGCGGATACGACACAGCATCAGCTCAAAACAAAAATACGGCCCTGTAACATCATATATGCTTGTAGACCTAGAGCCATTAGAACGCAATATAATAATAACAATAATAATAATAATAATAATAAACAATCAAGACTTAAATACTTAAAGATCCTGCACCATCTAAAGGCGTCTATGGATACATGCTCAATAAAGGAGTCAAGTGGATCAGATCGTGTGTCCAGCCAAGTGGGTCCATATAAAATACCCCGCTCCTGAACATATGCAACCTTGCTCACTCCTTTACATTATAGTTCACTATCCTCCAGTCCTTATCCAACGCGAATGAATCTGAATAACGCGTCTTCTAGAATGATAGAATTAACCTTTTTCCTGAGTATATTGCTGTGCGAATACCAAAGAGAATGAAAGCATACTAGATGCTTGGTATCCAGTTGGCCATGGCGCGGTAAGATTCCTCTCACAAGAATAAGCTGCTAGCAGCTGTTGCCTTTCATACAAGATCTGGTTGATAATGACTTATGTTTGTAATCTATAGCTGGACAACACAGACGCGTGAGTTCGGGTGTATTACAACCAAAAAAAAAAAAAAAAAAAAAAATGCAATAGTGAATTGACTTGTTACGAACCTGAACACTACTCTCTGCCTCCTCGACTGGAATACTGGAAGGTGATGTATCTCGTACGCCTTCCAGCACACCTTCTGCACCAGGTGTGGAAGGAAGGAAGTTCTGCTCATGCTATGTTTACTCCATTGGATTATAAGGTCAATACATTCGCCGGGTCATCCTTTTGTATCACGGCAGGCCAGAAAGTGTGAAGGCACCATGCGGAACAAACAAAAAAAGGGACGATGCTGCAGAGTTGACGGTCAATCTTCACTTCTTGCTGTGTCTTGCCCTGCAATCGGCTGAAGGTGAACCGATGCTTCCACCTGGTTCATATCCTGTTTTGATACAAATCCCTTATGGAAGCAGAAGTGAACATGGACATTGGGAACTATCATGATTTTTGTGGACGCAGAAATATGTGCACCCAAAATACCTAAAATGTGGGACACTGGACTGAAGATTAGGAGTGCACTACGACATGCGTACTTGGCCATGAGAGCCTGAAACGAAAGGTTTATTGTTTTTGCCATGGGGCGATGGTGTATAGAAAAATAAAAGGGGCATCATATCGGTCTCGTGGTTTCTTCATACAGAAACAGACAACCTGCAGTGCAGTCCAGCAGAGAACGACCGTTAAGCGATTAGCCATTGATTGACCTACATTTAGCCCATGGACCTCGGTATGGACCCATGCATCGACTGTATCCGTCTAGGATGACCGCCGGAAATACAGAGGGAGGAAGTAGAAAGGATGCATCCAGGCTTAAAAGGGATACATAGGCGAACGTCTGTACGTGTGCAGATGTCATACAAGTAACATTCATCGTCCGCGTGGGCAGTAAAACCCAACACCCCTGAAGAAGTGAGAGGAAGCCAATAGGCTGCTCCTCTCTCCTCGTGTCCACTCTCTTGACACACTCTTCTGCATCAACCATTGGAATCCCACTTCTTTAATCCCTCTTCATTCGCTCACTCATCCTTTCAATCATCCATCCATTCAATTCCATCGTCTGTTTTTCTACTCCACCGTCTATTAGTCTTTCTGTCTGTGCGTCTACTCAACCTTTCCCAACCGATAACCTTAATTGAAACATTCCGTCACCAGAAGCTCCCGAACGAAATGATTTTAGGATCCAACGGCGCCCATGCAGGCAAGTATATACCCGCTAAATGCTTATTCCACCATATAGTCCAACGGTAGCCCTACCTCATCACCAATTAACCATGGCTCTAAAAGACTTTCAACCGGGTCCGTGGCAACACGTTCCTCACAGTGTCCACGATATCGAGACCAAAGTAGACCAAGATCTCAGGATTGATGACCAGGACCCCAAAAACACATACTCCAAGCCAACACCAGCTGGCATCCAGCGACCTTCAAACCTGGATCTTGTGGCGGAGGACCGACCCACGATATCAACATCCAATCCTTCACTGCCCATACTGCGCTCCACGCCCTCAACGTCCTCCATATCATCAACTACATCCACCAGCTCAACTACTACCACGCAGACATTCGTGTCCACTCTATCTTTCAGCACTATCACAGGACCGCATCTAAGGGATGAACACGAGGCGGATGACCAACTTGATCTTGACTCTCTGGAGGTAGCCATCCTGACACCCACAGAGAACCGTACTATTCCATTTTTCGACCAAGAACAAACCGAACAAGACGAAACAGCAGAGAGCGACCGAAGGCTTCAGGAACAAGAAGATGCCCAGCCTCAGACATCGGTGACCGCTGCGTCAGGAAGATACACAAAGACGCCCAGCCAATATAGCACTGGAGCTGTCACTGTCAAACGACTACACTCTGCTGAACCATCCAGAACCGCAGTCAGCAGTTTGACCTCACCGCCCAGTTCATCGCCATCATCCATCGTGCACTCCATGGCTCCACACGAACAAGAGGAGGCGGTACAGGAAATGTTGTTTGCATCGCCAGAATACAGGAAGAGTATTGCGCTGAGCGAGCATAGTGAACTGATGCTGGACCCTTCAAGTCCATCTGGCAGAATATCGTCGCTTTGCATATCAGACACCGCCCCGCAGTACACGAACCTGCTTCGAGATGCTGCAATGATCATCGAACAGCGGCATCCGGACTGCAGTGAGACTCAAGACCACAATGATGCCATCAGCATCGACGCTGAACACGCTAATGTCCGTCTCGACAACAACTCCATATCTCCTGAGGAATTGGCGCACGATGTAAAGTTAAGAGAGAGCATGCGGACACCAGAGAAAGAGTCATCCTCTACGACGGGAACGCCTTCTTCGAGCACCAGGAGCACTATAACAAAATCTCGGTCGAGACGGTTTTCTGCTCCTGGACATCATGGCTCGAGTCATGTGTCACTCTCTTCATTAACAAGGTCCTCAGAGGCATCGTCTTCGTCGCAGGCGGCAGGAACCGAGATACTGGACGTGGAAACATTAGTTACATCGGACACCAGTGTAAGAGGCCCACAGGCCATTCAATTATCGGAAATCGAGATCGAACACGCAGAGCCGAAATTCTTTTTGCCTGGAGTACGTCCTGGTATGAACACCGTGGGCCTCGAGGGAACCGCGTCGAGACATGCGGCTCCTCTTTTGCAGCACCACGCGACAATACAACCCTATCTTCCCATGTTGAACGACAGTCTCAAAGCAGGACCCTCTGCTCCCTCGACTTCGGCGGCTCTGCATCTCTCACACCTTCACCATGATTATCGACCAGGTGTTGTTTTCGAGTATTACGAGGGCGAGTGGGACTGGCTACCGAATTTCGATGAGATGCGACCGGATAACGCAGGAATCGTCGGCAACTTTATGATCGATGATACAACGGAGCAGGAACTGTTCAGACCGCGATATAGTCACCAAGTGCGTCGAAAGTATAAGGAATCAGGGAACTTTGCGGTTCGGTTTACGACTCATATCGATATCACTCAGGATGGGGTTTATTCTTTCTGGCTGTCTTCGAACGATGGCTCAGTCCTTTATGTCGCCAACACACTAGTGGTTGAAAACGATGGAATGCACTACACAACCGAGGCTGAGGGGCGAATTTCGTTGCATGTGGGAAGGCACCCGATAACGGTCGAGTTCTTTCACAGGAACGGCAAGATGCTAGAAGGATTTCGATCGACGGGTCCGTCGTTGGTCGTGAGCTACAGAGCCCCGGGACCGCTTTGGTCGTTCGGACTGAAGGCAGGACCCAAGAAGATTATCAAATCGGCTAATCTGTTTTACGACCATGGAGGTAAGCGTCCTTTATGCTTTATGAGCACATGCAAGTGAGTTCTGGACCCTACAGTGCTTATCGTCGCCCTGTGTCCTTGTACTCCTTCTAGATATACGACTCAGGAACCTACTGCGAGATTATGGAGTGGACGACTATTCTTCAATGGATAACATCAATACTATTTCGCCAACCGGTTTGCGGCCCAACGAGTGGGGCGCGGACGGAAGAGACCTGTGGGGCCAAGGCGCAGGTGGTAACCAGCAGCGCGATCGACCGAGCAGGTACAGGATGATGAGTGGAGATATGGGACCGATGCAGCCCTCAAACCGCGAACTGCACGTCCAAATGGAGAATGCAAAGACCACGATCAAGGATCTTGAACAGGTAAAATGACTATTCTAGTTCGAGCTATGCTATCAGTTGACGTCCCTAGTCTTGATGGAAATGGATATCTGACTGGTCCCTAACTTTTAATGCTTTTTAGATTATTCAAGACCAAGCCGAGTCGCACAAGAAGAAAATGGCAGAGCTGTATAGCATTTTGCAGGACACGCAGGCACAGGTTGATCGGTTGCTCACCGGTCTGAAGAAGGCAGCGCTCTTTGAGGCGCCCAGGAAAACGGTTCCCCAGAATCAAACGAGCCATCAATCATGGAGAAATACAGTTATGTCGGTGTATGTCGATGCAGAGGAGGACTATCCACAACCGGGGCCAGACCAGCCAGGAACTGGCGAGGATGACTCTGTCCTTGAGGTACGTGATCATAAGCGAATAACTTTTTTTTTTATTGAATTCATAAAAAAAATTCTAATGCATTCGTTATTTTCTATTCCATTTAGACTGATGGCGATGACATTCTTGCGAAGCATCTTGCGGATGTTGAGAAGTTGAAAGAGGTGAGAGGGCAGCCGTTACAGAAAAGCACTCTTGGACCACGCACAGCTTCAGATGGCTAATGATGATAATGCCTCTTGTCTTTGTACTTGTACGCCTTCAGCTTTACTTTTTCTCAATGGCACTCTCCGTCAAGATGAACAGCGAAATGATGGGCAAGAAGACGCCCGAATACACCTCTACGAGCGTGCAGAAGCTATACGAGGACTGCACAGGGACCTCCAAGGTTCCGGTGGAGGGTTGGCCGGGATATGTGAGCCGGCACTTTGCAAGACGACCGACCACCTAAACCATCCTTCGAGCGTGTCTGAAAAGCCCCACAGGGCTGTGAACTATTCTGCAGAATAATCAGTTCAATACTCGGTGCGATACTTGATGTAATAAATGAATAAAGGTCGGTGTCTGCCATAAGCCTGAAGGCTTTCTGTCGATTTCTTCGTCCAGCAACTTCTGATATTCCTATTCCATGGCCGAACCAGAGCAACCAAGGGATCCGCTCGAAATCATCGAGATCATTGTACTGATTGGCGAGTTTATCAAGACGGAACGACAACCGACGGTCTATCTCTTCCCAAGGAACTACTCAAACTCACTCTCGTTTCCAAGACCTGGCGTCCAGCATTACTGCCGATCGTATGGAAGGTCTATGACGGGCATATAATGTCCAGCGTCCCTGAGGAGGTTCTTTCGAAATATAGTCATCACATCCGGATTGTTAGCGGCCGTGTCCATAAAGGACCGCTCTATTCCAAGGATCTGAAGCTGTTGAATACGTGGGCGACGAATCTGTTTACGCTCAGGCTGGTCGAGCAGGCTCGGCCGAAGATCTCAACGCGCTTCTGGTGGGGTACTACCCCATATAAACTGCAGCCATTGCTTCTTGATGTAGGCACGGATGTGTCAACAGTGGCATATACCTATCAGGATGGGCGCCAGGTAGTCAATCTGAAGGCGATGCCGGGGACAATTTGGGAGCTGATGCTACGTCAGTGGAGAATCTGAGATGTGAAGACGTTGTTGGAGTTCTTGACGAGGTACACGAAGCTGGAGAGCTTGACGTCCTCCGATGTCCAGGGATTTCGGACCTTCCTGACTACAGCGGCAACGGATGCAGGACAGGCACCGCCGAAGCTCAGTATTCAACAGCAGCAATGCCCAGGAACTGTAACAAAGAAACAGCCTCCGCCGACTCCCGGCGCCGGCGCCTTTCTTGTATCCCACTCTCAAGACACTGAAACTCGACTTTACAGCAGGGGATACCTCTTCTTGAACATGGCGGGGGTTGTTCCCCCTGGTGTGATCTTGGACAATGTGTTGAGAAGACGCGGTTTGGAAATATAACGGGTGGTGTCTAGGTGGAAAAGTGCTTGTTGTAGAAAGAGCGCTTGTTGAAGATTGCCATCACAACCATCGATCTAGTCGCCCCCAATGGCTCTCCTTTTTTTTTTTTTTCTTTTTTGGTCGCACAGCCCAATGCTCGCGACAAGAAGGGTCATAGCGCAATGCTCGCGACAAGAAGGGCCACACTGCTCCTCATTTCCTCTCATCCCCTCATTCGCCATCCCTTCATCCTCGACTTCTTCCCTCATTCGAGTTCCAGCAGCTGCCACTATGGTCTCGCTCTCAAAGCACTCTCGACTCTCTCGTCGCTCCAACAGCGTCAGTTCCCCGCTTCAAGTCCCTGAACTCCTCGAGCAGATCCTCCTTCACCTCAGCCCCGATACCCTCCGTTCCAGCTGCCTCCACGTCTCTCGCCAATGGTTCCGCATCGCCTGCACCCTCCTCCAGAGACCTCTCGGTTGGGCCGCAGCAAGATTAAGTTCTTACTATATTCGCAAACGTCTAAACCCACACAAAGTCTTCCTAAGACTGCCTCTGGCGCGCTCTTTCACAATTGCACACTCCTACTGGCCCAGTGATGAACAGAATCCACCAGAAGTCTGGCTTGAACTACTACACGAAATCAGGATGCTGTCAGCAGAAGAGCGACTCCGCATCAAGGAGCTATCCATCTGGGAGTACCTGTCCTTCCATACACAACTGGTGCCACTGCTGGCGTGTCTGGGCCCGTCGCTGACGAGTCTTAGCATCGTGATGTCTGCACGATCGGACTGTATCCCCACCAAGATTGTGGAACTCTGCCCTAATCTCTGGGCACTGCACATCCAAGCGCGCGGCCGATCTGAAGTCCTGGAGGAAGCGGATGAATGGCCAGTTCTGCCTTGTTACTTGCCTCTACGGTCCCTCAAGCTGACGCGCACGGATGTACCGGGAAAGACCCTTCTCTGGCTACTGCACAGTTGCCCTGACTTGGACGAGCTATGCATCATCGATCCCGTGGTTCCTCCTTCCGATCCTGACCGACCCATTATGCAGTAGATATCGTCTCTCTGTCCCAGGCTCAAGAGGGCTCGGCTTTCAGCCCAGGCTGGCCATGCATGGGATGCAGTCTCCGACAATGAGCTCTCCGCGACGATGAATTCCTTCCCGTCGGTCACCGCGTGGACCTTCAGATCAAAAGATTCCACCCCCACGGTGTTCAAAGCCCTGAGGGGATTCGACCACATCAACACGTTAGCGACACTCGAGATTCTATACTGGACCGATCCTGGGCCTATTCGCGCTCATAGGCCCTACGAAACGTTAAGGACGCTCGAGTTCGAGGCCCTACCTTCGGCCGACGTCAGGCAGCAATCCATATCTTTGCTCCGCCAATTCCTCTGCGGCTCTCCACACCTGCTGCACCTCAAGGCCCCCGGGATCGAGTTTCCGACCACACTGTTCAACCTAGAGGGTACCTTGGCCCCTGAACAGAGCGACGGGGAAACACAGCAGGAATGAACTCACAATCTAACGACGGAAACGCATTGCAGGATCTGGGCCAGCCGAAAACTGTGCACGCTCCACCTTGGGTTCAAGCCGGAGAGTCTTGACAATACGAGAAGCACTCGGGTCATGTATGGCTGTTTGAGCAGAGTATGCACGGACCTGCAAGAGTTGTTCATCTGGCGACGGAGGCTTACGCTGTCTTTAGAGAGCGGTCTCTGTCTGCTGTCGAGGCTCCATCGTCTACGCCGGTTGATCATCGAGACTAGTACTGACGGTTTTGAACGGGGGAACTTGGACTGGATGTGCAAGACGATGTCGACGGTGCAGAAGGTGAAGGCCAGGATTCAGATCAGCAGCTTCAACATGCCCTTCATTGGGCCTGGGCTTCAGGCTGTCTGCCCAACACGGTCCTTCTCTACATCAGCCTCGGCGGATATACCTCTCCTCCGTTCTCATGGCAACAGACCCAGGAGCCCTGACAGCGAAACCGCAAGCGACAGCAGCAGCAGCAGCGACACGGATACGAGCGACACAATGACCAAGGACTACATGATCGACGGCGTCGGCATGCGGCACCTTGGGCTCCACAAGGACATTTCCGATCTCATTCAGGACCGGTTGTTGAAGGATTGGCCATGCTGGCTGTACTTGGAGCGACTGTATGTCGAGCTGGAGAGTGGGCCGTGGTACTTTCATCATAACAATTTCCGGAAGACGCTGGGAGAATTGCGGCCCGGCATCGAATTGTATATTAATGAAACGTTTGGCTATAGCTATATGTGCGTGCGCTCTTATTGAAAGTTGCACCTCACTACGTCCTTGGAACTGGTTAGATATTCAATAAAGATGTCTTCGTCAGAATGGACTCAATTGTTAGTGCATCTACACTCACGGGCATAGCCGCAGAAGGGAGTCTGGCGCTTTGCACTTTCAGTAGTCGAGGAGGCGGGAATAAACTGTTCAATGAGTACGTCTTCTCTACCTTTCGGGTGTATCGGTAGCCAAGTCTTCTGCTCTAGGCACAAACCTTTATCCACTGAGCTAAACACTTTCGTAGTTTAAGAGTTGACCGATGGCGCATGATCGCTGGACCGACTTTCAGTTTGCCAGAACGCTCATTGGCTGGCAACAGGGGCTGGCCTCTCTCTCTCTTCTTACAGCTCCTTCTTCCCTTAAGCACTGATGCCCTGCAGTCGTCCTCATCTCGGGAATGCAGGAGGACATAGTGCGGCGGATCGTACATCAGCATCATTTCGTAAATCCTTTGAAGTCGCCCTTCCCTTTGCCCTTCCTAGCCTTCCTTTGCCTCAACGATGGTTTCCCTCTGATCTGCGAGTGAAGAGACAAGATAGACCATTTATCCTGTGCCGCCTGGATGCATCGGACGGGTCGTCGCCGGAGCCCGCGCTGAATGCGGCGTCCTCGTCGCTGTGTCCCCTCCTCCCTTCACGCTAGACGCCATCAGCCCCAGGTTCCGCACAGGGCGCCACGCACTTCCTGTTTACAGGAGCACGAACCAAAGCCCTACTCAGCCTGACTAAGTGCTGTCCGAATCTGCAGCAACTTGAGATCATAGGTCGCTGAAGAGATGGGGCCAACGTACCTCTCTGCCATTATTGCCCACAGCTCATTCAGCTTTCGATCGACTGACAGGACGACGATGATAACAAGTTCGGCTCATCAGATAGCGCTCTCGCAGCCTTACTTCGGAACCTCGTAGGGACTCCCACTCATCGAGTGATTACTGGTGGCCGTGGGGGGCTCTCGACATTTCAGGCATAGCTAACTTTGTTTGGAGAAGGGCCCGTAAAAGCACTGCTTGAGCAAGCAGACCCCTTAGAGGTACTAGATCTCCATCTCGAGAATAATGAAATCTCGTGTGAACATATGGTCGACGGGTTGAAGATTCTACTTGAGGACGCAGAGGGGCTGAAGCGGATCTGTTTGCGGATGAAGTACCAGGATGATCCGAATGACTTCCAAATGCATAAGCTGTTCGAAAAGCCCTGGGTATGTGCCTGGACACTGGAAGAGCTGTATTTATTGAGGATTGGGTCCTGGAGTTTTGAGGAGTGCGAGGCCGAAGAAATCGAGGTTCAAGACGACGATGGGGAACGGTTGACCGTGACATCGTTACAATATTGGAAGTTCAAGAAGACGGACTAGAGAGGATACTGCTAGGATCTCATGGAGCCATCAGAAATACACACAGACGCAGATGGATATTACAGAGTGCTCATTTTTATTTTCTTGATGATTTGTAACAAGTATGGTGCGATTTTTTAAACCTGCTGGTAATGGGGCTGTGCCTGATAAGGCTGTGGCCGATGACTCTTGGGGATGAACGAATCGCGATGCATATAGTACTGGAAGATCGTACCGATAACCATCATACCAAGCGTCCCCGCGAGCATACCATAGACCTGTCCTGAAACCTGGTAACCACCAAATAACGCGGCATGGTTCCCCGCCAAGAAGGCCGTAAAGGCCTCCTTGAAGCCTGTATGGACAAAGTTATCAAGGCCCACAAAGAACGAACCCGAACCCACAATGGCGGTACCAATGATAACAACATGGCGCTCAAGGAAGAAGGCGAGCACGATACCGATAATAACGCAGGCGACAATAAATATGGTGCGGCCAGTGCCATTGGAGATAAGACCGGAACTGGCCCAGGAGAGGACAAAGATCGAGAAGTAGAAGCCGGCGACGCCCCCGATGGCGGCGAAACCGATGCGCCAGAAAAAGGCAAAGAGCGCGCCGCCGATGATGCCGCATGCACCTGAGACACCGATGTAGACCCATTCAGCGTGAGGGCCGTAGCCGAACGAGGGTTCAAGGTTGCGGAGGGCAATCCATGCAAGCGTGGCTATCAAAGGAGAGGTCGAAGTAGAAGATGCGATGGATTTATTAAGAGAAATGCAGAACTTCTTTTTTTTTTTTTTTAATGATTGTGAAGAGCGCGTAAACATGCAAAGAAACTTACCAAAGGCATAGAAGCCGGCGAGGAAGAGAGTAATCTTGAAGAACTTGTGGCCAAAGAACGCGAACAAGAAGCCTGCGGCCATCAACACGATCGCGACAATCGACGAGCTGACTGTAATACCTCTGGTGGCTACATTTAACAGGGAAAATCGGTGTTTAGTTAGTGCCGCCGCTTGAGTCAGATGTGGTCTATGCATATAAATATGCATAAACATGCACAATTGCATTGTGGCAACCATTCATCACGATATAATGCACACTACAAGGGAGGGAGGGCTGTCTCCCAAAAAAAAATATCTATATCCCATCTTACTGGACGCGCTGTTTGCACTTCAGCCCTGTCTCTATCCTTTTTTCTGTGGCTGCAGTACAGCCTTTTTTTTCTACTACTGAAACCTTCTATAGTGCACAGAACGAACGGGACACTTCGCAGGGATGTGGCGATGTTATAGAATCGGGTCCCCTCCCCCCCCCCCCTCTCCCTCTCTCTTTGTCTCTCTCAAAAAAAAAAAGATAAGCGCGCCGCAAGAGAGATAGACGCAAAAACAACTTACCACCTGCGGGTCCACCGACATCGGGGATGGTAATGTTCGTGTAGTCAGGGTCGGCACAGACCATTGACGTGAAGAAGCAGAGGATAAAGGCCAGCAGGGCCAGCGCGCGCATTTGTAATGAAGATCTCATTGTGAATATGACTCGTCTTTCTATGAAGAGTATAGTGTCTGTGAAATTGGGTAAAGTACGAGTAGAAAGAAAGGAGTGCTTTTTTTAACGTTCTGTTTTTATCGGAGGAGAGGAAAACGAAAAGTGGATTGAGAAGCTCCTGAGGACGTCCCTGTCCTCTTTATACGAGGTGTTGCCTTCAACACAGCCCCAAGTGCTATTATTGTTTTAGTCTCCCAAGGAGCACGCGAAAAGGTGTTTGTTGCTGGGAAATAACTAAACAGCAACAGCTCAACAGAATACTCTTCCGTCTACGGGAAAAGTCGCCCTTTGTGCCTGTATGTTTTTCTCTTGGCGAACTCGTCGTTCTTTTTTTCCCATCTGCGTACGCCAAGGTTTTTAGGCATTGCAGGGCTGTCGTGCATATCACTTGCTTACTCCCTCTACCCCGACGATAACAGTTTACAGTGCGACTTTCAGTACCTAGTCTTTCTTCTATTTCATATATGTAGCCTTAGTGTGCTTCCATAGGCCATTTCTGCGTCATTGACACTGCCCAGATGGCGGCGGCACTCAGACTATTCGTGGTCCCTCGCTTCCCAGGAAGAGAATTATTTATTGCAGCAATAGGCTACTGGGGTATTGGTGGTCAGTCCTCACCGCCCAGTTGAAGAAAAGGTGTGCTATTCAAGGAATGAAAGATGCATTACCAGAAACCATGAGTAATCTTTATTTCAAGACGCACACGTTCAGGTCCATGCGCCTTTTTTCGCGTTTTTCGCCCTTTTGGTACTCGCACGAATACATGCAATGTAGTATCATACAAGAAAGGGTTATTTCATTGCGGCGCTGTTCTCGCCAATGACCACCTTCAGGACTCATGTCGCCGAGTGGAGACCTTTCCTTTCGTTCTACGCGATGCATGTGCCGTTCGTTAAATTGTCCTTAAAATAAATACGTAGTTTTATTTTCTAGGTGAATAACCCGCTCTTTCTTTCATCGACGACGGCCCTTGTCATATTTTTACGCCTTATGATTCCCTTCGCCGTCCATCTAGTCCTTGCCTCCAGCTTCAAATACTTTAACCTCGACTGTTGGCACTTCCTTGTAAAGACAGGTGCCCCGATGTCTTTCTGTTTACCACACACCACCTTGCTTCGGACGCAGCTCCGTTTGTTACTCGAATGCGATGAAGGGTCCGGCCAGTGAATTTTCCAGCTGTCAAACTGTCCGTATAGTATCCTGAAAGAAGCCATTCATATGACGACGTGAACCTCGGATGTTGATGAATTGGACAAGATGCGATAAGAAATAAAACATAAACAGTGGAATATCTGAAGCAAAAAAGCAAGGAATTGAATAATAAAACTATATGGAAAAGAAAGAAACTGGGTTTGTTATGGGGACGATGGTTTACATGCAGGCAACAGTAATGGTAAGTATCCGTGCTTGTTCGAAATATTGTAACTCGCATCGTGCCTCTGTATGTCTATGCGTATTTCCAATGAGAAAGAAAGGGATTGTAGTACTTACAAGCCCTTTTAATAACATACGAGTGACCAAAGCAAAAAGATAGCTCTTCTTACCTGAAAGGAATAATCTATTTTGACAACCCGGGTTGTTACTCTTATTTGGCAACCCCTGCACATGTAAAACAAGACTCGTATCTTTTGCGAATTTCAAGTCGAAACAACGCGGCGAGAGGTTGAGAACCATTCCTTCCTCCACCTGGCACCCCATGCAACCTTTTGCGAGCTTGGGAAAAGCCTTCTTCATGACGGAAAACAGGCTTTTATCGATGACGGACCCAGCGATGACGAAATGGGAAATCAGTTACATTGTGGAGTCCTTTAAGAGACAGATGACGATCTAGCTTAAAGAGCTGGGGCCAGGTACCATAAGGACTACTGGCATAATCGACATTTAAAAAATGTTGGCCTTACATGGAGTTAGTATAGGGGTTGCCAAATAGCAGTGTCAACCCGGGTTGTCAAATAGATTGTTCCTAATTACAAGGAGATCGAAAAATAAAAAAACTCTCCCGTTGTTCTCGGAGGAATCCCCAGTAAAAGTACAAAAGAGAGAGAACCGCTCCTGGGTGGGCTTGAACCACCAACCTCCTGATTAACAGTCAGACGCGCTAACCAATTGCGCCACAGAAGCTTTCAACTTGTTTGATAATGCAGCGGCCTACGGGCCTACATATGCCGCACACAGCCACATATCTCTAATTGCACACATCCTTATTTGCACATGCCCTTTATTTGCACGCCCTCTTCACCTGCACGACTGCTCCTTTTTACCACTGCACTATTTTTGTCCAGGCTGCGCCCAAACCTGGCCGGCTCCTGAACGCTCTCCATCTCATCTATACCCCGTTCGCGCTCTCCATCTACATTTACCCCTGAGTATTAGTCAGCGCGGCACCGACCCAGGCCCCGCTTCTAGTATAAAAACGCGATGCCTACCATGAAGAATAAAGCGGTTCCGAACACCCAGAGAAAGACATACTACCTTTTGCGACTTGATTGAAGTTTATTTCACTTGCCCCGTTTTCCCTCCTACCCTGACCTCTATCTACCTATCTAGCTACCTTACACCCCGCCCATCTACCTTACCCACCTTGCACTTATCTTGCCTACCCCATCCACCCTTTGCCTTTCCCTACAAGCCTACCCTATCTTGCCCCGACTCCGATTACCCGTAACATCTCTTTTTGGTGCTCATTGCAGGGATAAATTCCATTATCAATCCGAACAAGCTGCGTGCCATGAGCAACGATCCAAACCCAATAACCCCAACTTACCATGGGACGGTCATTCCGCCTCCTGTTTTCAACATTGATGATGACCCACTGGACTGGCTGGACGAGTTCGAGTGCGCCATCACCGCCAACAACTGGTCCGATACCCGTGCTCTTGCCATCGCGCCTATGCGTATGCATAAAGTCGCTCGCGCCTTGTTTTCCGACAAGAAATTCCCAACCTGGAAGGAATTCACCGAGGCTTTCCGCGAGCACTACCAGACCGAGGAGTACAAGAACCGTGCCTTCAATGCGGCCCAGAATTACCGCCAATCCGACAAGGAAAGTATCGACGTCGTAGTTGCCAAGATGCAGACCTTCTTCAGACGTGCTGACGTGACTGATGATGCGGTGAAGCGAAGGTTGTTCTCTAATTCTGTGAAAGAACACATCTTCAAAGAACTCTCGCGTAAGTCCGCGTCGACCTACGCCGACATGGTGAAGGTGGCTCGGCAGGAGGACCACATAGAGCAAGCCGCCATCGATAGACGGCGTGTGCCTGCCGAGTCCCTCCCTGTGTCGGCGGCGCCCGCCACAGCCAGTACTTGGCCTGCTGCCCCTGCGCAGCCTGAGCGCAGGCCGACTGGTCAAGACCTCGGAGTTGATGAGCTCATTTCGAAGATGAGCACCTTGTCGCTGAACCAAATCAATGCCGTCTTCAGTGCGTTTGGACAACTTCCTATTGCGAGACAAGGTCAGTCTCTTTCGGGCGGTGGTCGCGGTCCTGTTAACTGTTATCGATGCGGTAAGCCGGGACACATCTCTCGCAACTGTACGGAGTCACTTCCCAGCGGCAATAGAGATGCTCCTCCTGCTGGACAGGTTAACTGGATTGAAGTGGCGAATCAAGACGATGTCAACGCGGTCACCCGATCCCAAAGCAGAAATGCTGCCCGAACCGACGCCCATCCGTATCGTAGTGCGAATGCGGAGGTTCCTATGCAGCCCGTCAGACAGCCGCATCCTCCTGCGAACCATGGTGCTGTCGCACCGTCGAACGCCGGTGGAATGCAACCCCAAGCCCGAGCTCCGATTCCAATTCCGACTCCCGTTCCCGAGACGCCTGTCGGTGCAGGCCCTTCCAAGGTCAAGAAAACCCCCGTCAAGGTCAAGATTGCCGAGCCGACAAGCATGGACCTGGATTACGAGAAACCAACTAGAAAGCGCCTCGTGAGGAAGAAGGCTAACCCGAGGACGGCCCCCATCACGCTGGCTACCTTGCCTGGTGTGCAGCCCTATAGCATCCTCTCGGATATCATTACCACGCCCGTACACATGACGGTGGGCCAGGCCCTACTGTTCAAGGAGGTCCGAAAGGAGATGCTGAACAGTCTTAAGCCGGTCTCCCACACTGTCAGCCAGCTCCAGCCGATCACTGCCCCCGCTTCGTCGGCCCAAGTCAAGGTTACCATACATGGTCATGAAGTTTACGCCATCGCAGACACCGGAGCGTCGCTCTCAGTGATCACCCGAGGACTTGCTGAGTTCGTGGGCGCAAAGGCTGACCACCCGTACGACCAGATGATAATGACCGCGGATGGCAAAAAGCATGCACCTCTCGGCATGATTTCGTCGCTTCCAGTTTGCATTGACGACGTTGTAATGCCTGTTCCTGCCGTCATACTCGATCGTTCTGATAAGGTTATGCTGCTCGGGATGACGTGGCTGAAGCTCCATGGAATCCAGCTGGACCTCAAGGATAACCTAATGACGTTCGAGGCGAATGGATACGAGTATGAGGTGCCGTTAAAAACCGGTCGCGTTGCTTCGCAGCAAGGACAATCTGACGACACTGACCTTGATAGTGATGAGGATGACGACGTTGATAGCGACGACGACCTTGCAGGAATTGAGGAAATCAATGCTATTGCCGTCGAACCAAGAGAACCGGTTGATGAGAACGAGAAGTATCCACTGAGTAGGGAGGAAGAGATGGAGCTGATAGACCTACTCAACAATTACCAAGAGGTCTTTGCCGATGATATTGTTGAGCTTGAAGGTCGGTTCCAGTCTCAGGTCAAACATGTCATCGACACGGGCGATCATCCGCCGGTGCATGTGAAACCATATCGAATCCCGAAGGCTCATATGGATGCTGCTCTCGAGGAGGTCGCGAAGATGCAGGAATCAGGTATTGTCGTCCCTAGCAAGAGCCCATGGTGTGCTCCCGTGCTCCCTATCAAGAAAAAGGACGGTGGTATCAGGATTTGTGTAGACTATCGTTGCTTGAATAAGGTGACGAAGAAAGATGCCTATCCCTTACCTAGGATCGACGACCTTCTCGACTTGCTACCGGGCAGCGTCATTTT